CGCCAGCCTTGTTTTGAGTCACAAAGCACTTCAGGATTCACAAATCCTGCCCCCGTGAGACCCTCTCATCGGTCCTCCAAGCCCTGTAGTTCCCAAGGCAGTCTCCTTGATTTATGTTTGATGACAGATCCCCAAGATCTAGAGTTACCAGTAGGACTGGTACACAAGTGCCACCAACAGTGTTCTCCCCCAGGCCCCTGAGCCACTGCAAATACCACTCTCCCCTGCTCAGAACATACTCCCCACCATCTAGTCCACCAGGCAAATATCTGCGACACCGAATTCAAGTCTCATGTCCTCCCTGGTCCCTTCACCTTCCATTACCTGTGCCCCCCCCCAACACACATATACACACACACACACCCCCCACACCGCCCCCTCCCACCATGCACGCACGCGCGCACCAGTAAGTGACTTATTTCCTTCTCAGTTCTGCTCCCTTAACTTACGTCATACTCTCCACAGCCGGGGCGGGGGGGGGCGGGGGGGGGGGTGGGGGGAGGGGGGCAGGCACCTTCCTCAAAACACTTGACTGCCACCTGCTGGAAGTTTGTCATGATGGCACCACAAATCTATGCCACTTAGACCATGGCCCAGCTTGTTACTATATCATGCCATCACGTCTTTACTTAAACACTGTCCCTCCCACTAGGTTGAGGGAATCTTGAACATAAGGACTACTGATTCCTCTGCATCCCCACTGGCCTGGCTTCCACTAGGAGCTAGAGAATAACTGAGGCACAAACACCTAGGCTCAAGGCGCCTGGTCTCACCAGGTGAACGTTCTCTCTGTTGTGGAGGCTACCAAACTCCCCACAGCCTGTCAGAGTAACCGTGGAGGGTCAAGAGGGACTTGCAGAGGGGGCAGGCCCCTTCAGCCTCTCTGCTCAGAGGCCACCACCATCTGAACAGAGCAGAGCAAGTCCACATTCATCCCCTCAGTAAACCTGGAGAGCTGGATGTTGTGGGGAAGTTGATCGATAAGCACGTAGCCACCAGACAAGGATAGTCCAAGAGGCTGAGTCACTATCATTTCTTTTTCCCTAAGCCGTGCCCTTTTATTGAGCCGCATCCTCTAAAGCATTACTCCAGTGACATCCTGGGGCTTCACAAAATGGCCTTAACTCCATTCAGCTGTCACACCTGCGGGTGGGGGCAAAAGGGTGGGGAGCTTTTCACTGGGGTCCCGTTTAGAAAGTGGGGTGGGGAGACATATTCTTTCACAAAATGTATTTCCCAGAGCCATCCCGACAGCATTGCTCAGAAACCAGACACACCCCTCCCTGCAGACACGCCCCTTGCTCAGCCTGTTCCCATAAACTAGCTGCCGCACTTTGTAGCCCATGTGAGGTCTGAGCGTTTTCCTCCCTGCCCTTTCACCAGGGAGCCCAGAGATGACCCATTCGCTCAGTCTGTGTAGTGTTCCTGAACCAGGATTTCTCCTTCTTATCATCCCCCCTCATTTTGTCCCCAGGTGTACTTATTTGGGGGGTTTTGTGTGTTACTTTGTGGGGTGATTTTGGAGGCAGGACCAGCAGCAGTGTGGTGGTTAGAACCAACAGGGAGCCAGACGTACCTCGGTTCAGTCCTCATTGCTGTTTGTGCCATCTTTAGATAACTTGGCCTGTTCAGTCCTTAGTTCCTTCCCTGGAGAACTGGATAATGATCACAGTTAATGGATAGGCTATCGTGAAGATGAAACTCGTCCAGTGTGAATGCCACTGTTCCCCCGGGCTCCTCCCAGGTCAGCCCTGGTCTGTGGCTCCAGGGCCCAGGTCTGCATTTCCTTCCTCCTGCCTGTGTCAGACAGCTCAGGAGGAGTTTTGCAGTGCTAAGAACTCAGCGACCAACCGTCCTGGCTCATCTGGGACAGGGGGTTTCCCGGGATGCAGAACTTTCGGTGCTAAAACAGGAAGGTCCCGGGCAAACAGAAGACTTGGTCACCCAAGTAATAAAAAGCCGCAGTACCTCAATGGCTTACAGTAGCAAAAACTTATTTCTTTCTCCATTCAGGAAATTGCTGGTCTCGGCACAAAGGAACACTTGTTAATGGTTCTATCCCAAAGTTATGGCTGACCTGTCCAGTCATATTTATCAGTCAAGTCACAGTGCCAGGCCTGATACCAGGCGGCCTGCAGACTGTCCCCTCAGGAAGGGGCGGCTACACACTGTCCTTTCTCTTCATGCAGCATTCAGGGTGCTGGGGCAGGAAGGAGGGGAAGCAGAGAGAGGTGCCTGGTGTGTGATCGGTGGTCTTGGATGTGGTGATCTTCCTTTGTATAGACGGGGTGTGCGGTTTTCTGAGGGGGCAATTTGGCCTCGCCCCCCTGTGCTCAGAGGAGCTGCTATGTCTCCCGTGGGCACCGAGCAGTGGTTGAGGCCCTCACCCTGCTCAGGCGCTGAGGCCCTGCGGCTCCTCTCCCGACCCCTCGCTTCTTTATATGGAGCCTCTGAGATTCTTTTCCCTGTGCTGCTATGAGGAGCGCAAGGGGACTGAGATGGGACAGAGGGTGCCCCCAAGTTCTTCCCAGGCCAGCCTTTTTCTGGCCAGCCAGTGATGAACCTCCCCCCACTTTTGGAATCTCGAACTCAGAACATGGGGCCGCCAACCCCAGGACCACCGACCGGGCTCCCCCAGAGCATCCTTGCTCTGTGCCACTTGGACGGCAGCAGCAGGGCTGGCCTCAACCCCCGCAACAAGGGCCCCTCTCGCAGTGCCCCCATCAGCGGGGGTCCCCCAGGTCAGACCTCTTTTGGAAGTAGGGAGCCAGAAAGAGTTTTTCTTCTTCTTCTTCTTCTTCTTTTTCTTCTTCTTTTGTTGTTTCATTTATTGTCTTACGTCTAAGAATACTTCCTTTGGAGAGAAAACAGTTTTCCAAAAATAACTGTTAAGTGTCACAGCTGATTTTGTGTCCTTACCTTGTCCAAGCACATAAGAAAGGCCTTTTAATTTTTGTTTTGCAAACTATAGTGCCAAGATCCATCTTAGCCTTTATTATTTCTATAAAGCAAATTAGAGTTTTGGAAAATTGATCAAAATAAGAAATTTCATATGCCATTTCATTGTTAGAGCCTTTATCTAAGTTTCAGAGAAGCGGGGGAAAGAGAGTGAGGGGTGGTACTGGGAGGTGCCCAACAACAGAAGCACAGGGTAGGGGGCAAAACAGAGAGAGGGGGGGGGCGGGGGGTGGCGGGGGGCGGGTGGATGTGAAGGGAAGGGCAAGAGCAGCGTGGGCGGAGCCGAAAGGTTTCTCCTTGGAGGTGACACCTGACAGCACTTGAGAAGAAAGCAGTTCACCAGGTGATTGAGTGGCTAACGGGAGCCACACCTGCAGGACACTGTGGGCACAGCTGGGGCCCTGTGCTCTTGGGACTTTAAGTGAGTGACCTTGAGCTTTCAGCAGTAGATGAGGAGGGATGGGCTAGAGAGGCAGCAAGCCGTGGCCGGGCCTGGTGTTAACCACTGGAGAATTTGAGGTTTTATCTGGAAGGCTTGGAGCAGAGCAGAGCAGAGAAGCCAGTGAAGTGTTTTAAACAAGGAGCGGGGGTGGCAGGGGGGTCCTGTCTCTGACCCCATTGAGCAGGGGGCAGGGCTGAAGAGGAAAGCAGCCTGGATGGAGGAAATGACCCCCAGGGAGGGAAGTGGCTGGACCCACCCATTGGAGAGCTATGTGAGGGTCTGGGATGTGGAAGGAGAGAGAGGGAGATGACCAGGGTGGGCCGCGCACTGGGGGCTGGAGGGTGGTATGGGGCCTGGATGGGGAATTGGACTCAGATGGACTCACACATTGTAAGCCTGCCTCCAGCAGCATTACCTGGGGACTTTGCGTCCGTTTGCCAGTGCCGTATCAACTGAGGCTCGGGAATTCAAGTCCAGAGCGCCTGGTCAGGCTGTTAGCACACGCCCAGAGACTGGGGTTATCAGATGGTGAAGGTTTCTGAGTCAGACTGCAAAGGGGAATAAATTGAGAGAACAAAATCAGTTCTATTCCTGGATATTCATCCAAAGACCTTTAGAATGATCAAGACAAAGATAGATAGTCCAAAGATGACAAGAATTAGCCTGCAGAATGGGAAACAGCTGAACTCTTCCTTCAGCGAGGTCGGTAAAGCCCCGTTTAAAATCTGTTTTGCCATCTCAAGGAAGAGCTGGGAAGGAGGTAGGGGCTGTGCCGCTTGCCTTCCTTGAGAGCCACTTCCTCCAGTCGCAGGGAGCGAACAGGTCCCCTGTGTCCTGTCAGTGGGAGGTGGGCGGGCAGCGCCTTTTCAGAGTTGCTTTCTCCCTTAGCTTTGTGTGTGCACAGACGTACCTGATGTTCTTAAGCTAAGATGTTTTAAGTATTGGCTCTGCTGGCATATTGTTTTGGCTTAATGTTTTCCGAAGATTTGTGTTCCATGGTCTGCGTCTCACAAACTAACTTCACTTGGGAGAGTGGAGTGACGTCATTAGCAGTGAGCGTAGCATCTGGAGCCCCACCACTCCGGCTGTGTGACCTTGCCCAGCTCCTTCACCTCTGTCTCAACCATCTCATCAGTAAAATGAAGAAAACAATAGTATCTACCTCACTGAGCTATTTTCAGGTTTGCGTTAATCTACATAATGCAGTAAGAACAGGGCTCGATGCAAAGTACATACTTAATAAGTTCACTGTTATTGCTTGACCCAATATGAGGAATGAAAAATATAATCATCTTTCTTCTCTTAAGGCCGTGTCCAAAAATCCATGTTTAGTAATTTAAATGGCATTGTTTTTCACAGAAAAACATGTCCTGCTAAAATATTGCCTGTTAGACTAAACCCCAAACACACGATCCCTTCACAAGTTTATAGTTGAGTTTAACAGGCAGCTGAAAGATGGGTTGTGAACCGTCCAATTACTCCCTGTAATTAGGAGTCATGAGTCAGATTCCCCCATCTCCCTTAGCTAATGTGAGATTTTAAGACTTATGTACCCTAAAGTGAACTGTCTGGGTTTTCTTCTCCTTGGGCCCTACTATAGGTTTCTGAAAGAAGCTGACTGCCTGGAAGGAAGCTATAAAACATGAAAATCGCTTTGAGGTGACCAACAAGTCCAGTGGCTCCTTACTCCTCCCAGGGTGGGTCTGAGGTTGAGGAACTGTGGCATCAGGTAATAAACCATCGTATTCCCTACCTTCCCCCTCACCCAGCTAACTCATTGGCAGATCCCAGGGAAGCTCTTCTTTCAGAAACTGTGGCTGCTCCCAGACCCCGAAACTTCGAATATTCTACCTGATGCAGTTGTCTAGCTGGTCACACAGAGGGAGTGGCCCAGAGGTGGCGCCCCCGACCAACATGCAGCCTGGGTCCCCGAGGCCCTGAGGGCAGGGCCCCGTACTCATTCCTGGACTACTTCTCTTAGTGTCAGTAACAATAGAACAACAATGGCAGCCACCCAACAGGCCTTTCACATGATTAAATGGTTATAAAATGCTTCGCGATGAATAAATCAGCATAGCCAGGAAATTTTTGTAAATGAAGAGTAATGAGGGAAGGGATTTATTCTACCAGATATTAGAGTGTATAATCAGGCCAAATAATATATAGTGTGGTACTAGAATGGAAATAACAGGATCCAAGAAACAATAAAATGTCCATAAATAGGCATTGAGTGATTCAATAAAGGTGGCATTTCAAATGATTGGTAACAGGATATATGGTCTATTAAATGGTGTTGGGACAGTTCTCTATCCACTGGAGGGAAATAAGTTTGGGAATTTCTTAGGTAGTATACCCAAAATCATTTCCAAATGGATTAAAGAACTAAACAAAGTAAAATTATAAAAATGTTAGTAAAGAGAATATTTTTATTATTCTTGGGTGTGAAAAGACTTTTTTTTTTTTAAAGAAAAGATTTATTTATTTTAGAGAGATGGGAAAGGAGGGAGAGGGGGAGAGAAACATTAATGTACAAGAGCTGCATCAATTTGTTGCCTCTCTCACAGCCCAGGCATGTGCCCTCGTAGAGAACTGTCCCAACACCATTTAATAGACCATATATCCTGTTACCAGTCATTTGAAATGCCACCTTTATTGAATCACTCAATGCCTATTTATGGACATTTTATTGTTTCTTGGATCCTGTTATTTCCATTCTAGTACCACACTATGTATGTGACCAGGAATTGAACCAGCGACCTTCTGGTTTGCAGGCTGGTGCTCAATCCACTGAGCAACACCAGCACAAGTGAGAAAATGCTTTTTCAAATGTCACTTTATTATCACATACAAATACCATAAGCAAAGTTAAAAGACAAAAAAGGAAAAAAAGTGTTTACAACATCTATGATGAACAAAGAATATATTTCTAATACATAAATTTATGCATTCAACATCTATTTATTGCGTACTTCTTATGTACTAGGAAGCGCTCCAGGTACTAAGGATACAAGCAGTAAACCAAACAGAATCCCGAGTCTTCTCATGCTATAGTCTAATGAAGAAAAAATGAAGAAAGAATTAGATTACCATAGGCCAAATTTTGATAAGGGCTATGGAAAAAAATTAAGCAGGGTAGGTAGGGGTGGTTGGGGAGGACTGGCAGGAGGTTGTATTACATGGATATTCAAGGAAGCTTCATTGATAAAATGATACTTGAGCAGAAATATTATAAAGGAAAAAATGGAGAAGTGGCTGAATTTTTAAATGGTGGATTAATAGGATTTGTGATGGATTGGATGCAGGCTGTGAAAGAAAGAAAAGGACTCAAGAGTGACTTCGAGGTTTGGGGCCTGAGGAACCAGAAGGATTGAAATGCTGGTGTAGGCATGACTTGGGCTTGGCTTGGGGAACCCAGGGGTTTGGTTATGGATGTTTCAATTTGAAGTCCCCATTGTAAATTCAAATGGAGATGTCAGGGAGATGGTTATACAAGCTTGGAATTCAGGGAGAGGTCTGGGCTGAAGATGTACATTTGGGAGCTATCATATCAATAGCATAGATAGATAGGGCAGACAGATCTCCTAGGGAATGAGTATAGACAGCAAGGAATCCACGGACATCCATGGAACCTTTATTTAGATTTGAGGAAGATGAAGAGGAACTAGCTAAGGAGACCAAAAATGAATGGCCACTGAAGTAGAAGAAAGACCAGGAGAAGGTGGCATCTCTGAAACCAAGGGACAATGAAGAGGATCAAAGATCACATCTATCAGTTGTTGCTGTTGAGTCAAATAGGGAGTGAATGAATGGAAAACCAGCCGTTGGATTTAGCAGTGAGGAGGTCACCGGTGGCAATAGAGGGTGTCTTATTGGAATGATGGGGACAAAAGCCTGACTGGAGTGATTGGAGTTGGTTTATAGAGAGTAAGAGGAAAGGAACTGGAAACAGAAATGGGGCAATGACTAGAGAGGAGTGGAGCTCAAAGCTTTTTTTTGCTCCAATACGAGAGTTGTTGCAACATGTTTTGATCCTCATCAGAGTGACCCAGTATATGGGAAAGTGGATGATACAGATTGGGGTCAGGGAGAGCCTTCTGGCGCAATGGTCTCAAGTTATGAGAGAGGATGGAGTCAGCACACACCCAGTGTGGGGGTCCTAACCAGCAGCACCTCGGTAGGCTGGTCGCTATGGTTGATGGCCTCTTTTCTCAGTAAAGGAGAAAGCCAAGTTATTAGCTGAGCGTGAGGATCTGGAAGATGTTGAGGGTTGGAAGAGAAAAAAGAAGGTACAAAGTCCTCACTAGCAGAGTGGGAGAGTGAAAGGAGCTTGGAGTCGGGGACGGCTGGACTGCACTGGGCCTCCGAGGGAGAGCTGGGGGCTGACAGGGGGAGCAGTCAGCTCGCTGTGTGTTTTTCTCCCACCAGGTTCAGGTGCCCAGGTGAATGTGAGTGAGGAGGCCCGTAGGTCCTGAAGGCACAAAAATGGGACATGAGTAGGCAAAAGGGAAAACAGAGAAGTGCCCATAACACAGGAACACCACCTCTAGTAATTTAAAAATACAAGTAAAAACAATGAGGTTGGTTTGTACTTTCAGCCTGGCAAGAGCTCTTGTTGAGCATGTAAGTTCCTGGAGCACAATGTTTAAGTGTGTACGAATACACGTAATGTGTGTCACCTTTTGCTCTGTCAGTGCTACTTTTAGAAATTTATACCAAGAGATAACAGCTCAAATGTATGGAGACATATGCACCAATATTCCACTCTAGCAGGTGATTGTGAAAGTGAAAATTTGGTGCACACCTCACCAGGAGGACCTGGTTCACCCATCTGTGAGTGTAATAGTAACAGTGAAGGCAAGAGCTCACACTTACTTATTGCTTTGCAGATGAGGAAACTTGGGCCCAGAGAGAAGGAGTGACAGCCCCAGTCACGTGGTGTGGCACTCGGACCCCCGACTGCGGGCCGGGCACGGACCTCTTCAACGTGGTTTGGAGCTGGAGTTCCTTGTAAGGTACCTGTCAGCCTCTTTTGGGGGCCAGCTCACTTTGTGATTTTAAAATATAAATTCTCAAAGTGTTTTGCAAATTTATTTATAATGTCTTCATTTCATTATTCAAGGTTTTCCTTGCAGGGGATGCTGGGTATGGGAGGACAGCAGGGAAAGAAAGGACAGGCTTTGTCTGGGCTGCTGTTAGAAAGGAACCACATTTTCCTGATGCCCAAGTCAGACCTTTTATACAGGGCAGGGAAAAGGAGGTTTACAGTTGTGAATACGTGAAGCAGAGTTGATTCTTGTATTGTTATTTATTAATTATCGTATTATTTTCATACAAACAACTGTAAACCTACTTTTACCCTGCCCTGTATAGTCTGAGAAAGTATAGTTTCTGTTTTCCTGTGTCTTTTACAAAAGTTGTAATGAAAATACAAAGATAACAAGTAAATCATATTTATTTCATTGACCTGGCTATCAGAGAACCTCTGGCACACCCGGCCCCCTCAGGGAGAAGCACTGGGCTGTAGCTTGGGCTCTGGTCTAGTTCTTCCGCACCCTAGCCTGGCGCCTCTGGGCTTTTCATCAGACAAACCAAGAGGCGAGCCTAAATTACCCAAACTAGCTCCCAAAGTAAGCACGGTGCCCTTCCTTCCTGTCAAGTCCCCGTTCCAGCGGCTGGGTGAGAGGTGCGCTGGTGCTGTAGATAAGCGCCCCGTCCCTTCCCAGTGTCACCTGGTCGTCCACCATTCAGAAGGTCATGTAGAAGTAAACACGCCTCTGTGCCTCCTTGTACCAATTCCAGACCTCCAATGGCGGACCAGAGAATGGACATTTCTTCAACAATCAGTGATTTCATGTCCCCAGGCGCCAGCGACCTCCTCTCCAGCCCCCTCGGCACCGGCGGCGTGGATTGCACCCGCAAACGGAAAGGCAGCTCCACCGACTACCAGTAAGGCCGTTAGGCTCGCCCTCCTCCAGCTAAACTTGGTGCCAGTCAGTTCATGGGCATGCGATGTCCACGGGCCAGCTACTGTCGCTCCTGGAAGAAGGGATCCTCTTTGTGGAAGGGGATGGGAATGAAAGGTGCAACTCCAGGTGGCCACACCGTTGGGATTTTTCTCCGTCTTCCCCCTGGAAGCAAGTAGTGGGGAGCCTCCAGCACCACTGAGGCATTACCTCCCCCTTTCTGTCCTCAGATTGTTTCATATCAAGGGAAAAAGAAGAGCCTTAAAGCCAATTTTGCCTTTTACCCCTTCCTTTATCTTCCTTTGCTCTTTGAGCAAGATGACTAAAGTCCATGGATGTAACCTCAGTGGTTTCAGAGAGAGATTTGCCTGCGGGCCTCTCTCCGTGGAAGACGCTTAATAAATCTTTGTGGAATAAGTTAAGTAGTGGTCATCTCTGAAAACAGGACAGGAACATTGATATTGTCCTTTAACATTATTGAAATTAGTATGTACCTGTTATATTAAATAGTATTTTTGTTTTTTTTTTAGACTTGATGACTTTTCTTTTGAGTAAGTAAACTTTCACACTTACAGTCAACTCTTCTATATCTGTACAAACACCTACAGGGAACAAGGCACTGTGTGTAGAATATCCAAAGGCACGTTTTGTTTTGTTGAGGCATCTGCAATGTGGAATCTTACCCAAATGCCCATTGAAGACTTTTGCTTTTGTCTAATGAGGGAAAATCTCCAAGGAGGTGTCCCCACTACAGCAGATGCCCTTTCTGCTGAAGTTCACAGGTCGAATTTGGGGAGCACAGTGGCTGGAGGTCAGAGGCCCACTAGGAGATGCTATGAGTAATATGTAAGTTATCCCAGATGATTCAGAGAGCAAATGCCCAGGGGATGGAGAGTGGGTGTGAGGACCAGAAGGGTGTTTTTTCGTAGCAGCCACTTCCCAACAGAGAGACCAGCAGATGTTTTCTCTGGACCACTGACATGTTCTAAGACATCTGCTCTCTATGGTTTCCAACCTGTCACCACCCAAGGCCTTCCGGTTTCCCTCAAGGACCCCAGTTGGCAAATCTCTTGTAATTCATGGAGACCCTATTAATGAAGCAACTGTAATTCCATTTCTCTATACTTCTGATGTTCTAAAGTCATATCTAAAGTCAGGCAGAGCTTCCCTTCGCTTGAGGTGGTCACTCTGGCCTCAGTAAGCAGACAGGAGGCTGGACAAAGGGGAAGGAAAGTTCTCATTTGCCCAAGTGGCCTGTCTGATTTTCCCTGGACTTGAGGACTAGCTCAAGAAACCCTCTGCCTGGGAGGAAATCTGGGGCGCCTAATTGGGAACCGCTGTTCTAGAATGCCCGCGATGTGACGGCACTCCTGAGAAAATTGGTTTCGCCCTTGAAATTACATTGTTTGAAGGGTATAATTCCTCCCTTTTTATGGGATAAAGGAGGAAGGGGAGAGGCCCGGAGGGTAGTCAGTACTTGTCTGATAAGTTAGGAGCTGAAGAAGGCTGTGAGCTTACCCCGGGGGTGGCGGAGATTTGGAACTCCTTCCTCTGATAATGTCAATCTCTTTTCTACTGAAACACAAGATGCCATGAAACTTGGATTTCTGGAGCCTGATAAAAGGAGGCAGGACAATGCCATGACCCCAGCACCCTCTGCTGCCAAACAGTTCCATACCCCTGCACCCCAGGCCTCCCCTCTGTCCCAGCTCGCGGGGCTCCCCACCTGGCTCAGAACCGGACTCTGGGCAGCGGTGCCTTTGAAAAACTGCCTTAGGGCTCGCTCAGGGCTTCTTTGTTGGTGCTTTGATTCCCCTCCTCACTTCAATCCCCACACAATCTAATAAATAATGTGCACAGATATTTGATGCTTGGTGTGCTTTGCAAAGGAATAAACTCCATTTATCCAGAGTGGTGGGGGAACGAGGTGTTATAGTTACTCGGATACTCTGTTGAAGAGTTTCCGTAAGTGTTATGTACTCCCAATTTTCATACAATCAAAATATGATAAAATATGTTAACATGGAAACTCTATTGAGACTTTATATAAATTTCATTTGATAATCTGGAAAACCAGTTCAAGTTTTATAGGAGCTTTAAGTTGTTTTTCTTTATTTGACTGTTGTATTTCCATAATCAATACTGTGTTATTTAAACTTTCTAACTGTTTGGTTTCTGGATAAATGAGAGCCTCACATATTATGATTAAAAGGTATTTTTTATGTCTTTAATAGTCACGTTCTCTTGTTTTTTTTCAGGGAAAGCATGGACACAGACAAAGATGACCCTCACGGAAGGTACCATGAACCTAGTTACTGAACTTCAGCGTCATTGTAGCCATTTCCTTGCATAATTACACATTGTGGTACTTGGTGCAGGTGCCACCCATAACCTGGATAGGGAATAAACAAGGGGGCTAAGAGCCCGTGGGCTCAGGATTGTCTCCCTCCAGCCCCTAATTTGGCTAACAGCCAATGTTGTGTGCTTGTAGAGAGATGACAGGGATTAAATAGGAAAATTAATTAAATTGGGAAGAAAGCAGGGTATAACTTTGCTGTTAGTTATAATCTCCAGGAGATTGTGTCTTTATCTTTTGCTCTTTTATTTCCAGGTTAGAATACACAGAGCACCAAGGAAGGATCAAAAATGCAAGGTAAGAAGGGGCCCTCGTTCTGTCTGTAAGCGGTCCTGGCTCTGGTTTCTCAGATGCAGCCGAGGAGGCGCTGTGCATCTGGGCCCTAACAGTTCCCTGACAGTCACATCCCTAACGAACAGAGAAGGGAGCAGTGGACTGTGGGCTGGTGTGGGCTTCTGCCCCTCACTCTCCCAGGCTGCTCTGGCCTTCACTCTTGGTTGCCTAAGCATGCTTCATTGAAAGAGGACGTGGAGGGAGAAGAAAATAAATTATGGCTGAGGCTTCCCCCCCAGTCTCTGGCAGGTACTCCTTCCTGACTCAAAGGCCTTCAGGAGGAGACCTGGCTCAGAGATTCGGCTCCTGGGCCACCCCTCTCCTCTGAAGGGGGCCCTTGTTGCTCTGAGAATTGCAGCTGAAGGCCCGACAGGGGGATGGCCTGCTCCCTTGAATAGACTCTCCAGCTTGATCCTTCCTGCCTCCAACCACACTTTCTGACCCCTTTCCATGGGGGTCCTCAGCCCTCCTCCTGCTATGAGGCTGTCATAACCCAGAAGGAAGGGCTGCAGAACTTGGCTGACCTGAGGATTGTAGCTTTCCTCTGGCAGACCCGCTTTGGCAGGAGATCTCGGGGTTCGGTTGCTATGGCAGCGGCAGCAAACTACATTTCCACCATGGAGGCACCTCTTTAGGGGGACAGGCACAAATGGCAGGTGCAAACCAGTCAGGGAGAGTACGTGCCAGCGGAACTGGCATGCTCCCTCAGTGGGCAACAGCTCCTGGGAGGGAGGAGTGTGACATGTGACATTCTTTGGAGGAAGTTCCTGGGGGCAGATGTAGCATCTGCTGTATCTATGTGGGGTCACGTTTGATCCAAGGACGGCAGCGTGAGCTCCCTGGCGACTCATTCAGTGAGTCTCTGGCAGGCACACAACAGGCTCCTCGCAAAGCTCGGAGACAGCGCACAGGGGACCACGGGACCCTTGATGGTGACTGTCCTGGATGTTTTGCTCTTTAAAACCTCCACCTCCCTCTTTTTGTCCCCTGCCCCCATCTTAAATCCAACTTTATGGAGGCCAAGAGGAAAGGAAATGACAAATTAACAGTACAGTTTACTCTGAAAAGATAGTTTTTGTAATATTTCTCCTTAATTCTAAGGCTGAGGTAAGAAAAACAAACAAAAAAACAAACAAACAAAAAAACCTAATACTGACCTGGGAGTGAAGCCACTTTTTGGGTAACTTTAGTAGAAAAGTCTAGTTTAAAATAGTCTGCAAGTTCTAAATTTGCCTTGTCAGATGAATATTGAGAACAGGTATAACTTATTTTTGCCATTGTTTCCTTGGTGCTGGGTTACATTTTATGGAATTTGTTTTTCATATTGTTCTTCAGGGAAGCTCACAGTCAAATTGAAAAGAGGCGCCGGGATAAAATGAACAGTTTTATTGATGAATTGGCTTCCTTGGTACCAACATGCAACGCGATGTCCAGGAAATTAGATAAACTTACTGTGCTACGGATGGCCGTTCAGCACATGAAAACATTACGAGGTGAGACCCTGGGTTTTATTGTCCTTCATGTCCTTGCTCACAAATGTATCTCTGTTGCCTCAAATGTTCCTAAGTCCCTACGGCAAATATTTATGGCTTGAAAATGTGTAGCCTTGAGTAATATGCCTGTAATTTTTCAGCAATAGACACGATGCCAAATAAGTGACTATTGAACTTATGTATCAAGATGCAGTTTTGCAGCCCTGCATGCCCAGAGGGTAAAGGCCATGCACACGTCTCTGTGTGTGCGTGTAGTCAGACTACATGCTTATCAGAGGACACTGCTGATGCCCCATCTTTCACATATGTGTGCCTGGACCCCACCCATACAATTATAAACACCAGAAGTGCAGGCACATTTAGTGACCCAGAGAGTCAGTTTTAGTGTTTAAGAGGGAAATTCGTCCTGGTCCCTTTGAAGAGTTGGTCAGTGGTTGATGGTCCTTGCTGCATTTTTATCGTCAAGAATGAACACTGACATACTCTTCTTCTGGAATTTTCCCAAACTGGCTAGACCCCGTATGAAGGAAGCAGTATTTTTCTTCTCTCCTGAGTGTGGTAAGGTTGAGAAAACCCAGGCAGAGATGTGGAAGTAACTTATCCAAACCACAGGAGAAATCTGAAACATATCAGGCATTTTAGTGATTGCTGTTCCTGGAATTTTCCATAGCTCGTCTTGAACTATTTGAGGAAATCGGAAAGTGGGTGCTCAGTTAGATCGCTGAGCTGTGTGGTAAAAGAACTGCATCTTTTTATTTCCACAAAGCCACCAGAAATAAGAAGTAGTTGGTTTTGTCTGACTTTTGATTATTATTCAAAAAATATAATTGTATCCTGTGCTTGGAGAATGGCATTTAAAAATTCATATGAGCTGAAACAGTAGAGACTAAATTACAATAAAACAATTTCTATTAAACTGGAAGGAAAAGAGTGGCAAGTCCTGAGTTATTATAACAAAGCAGGGATGTGGGCCCATCCCCTGCGCCTTGTTAGTTGCTATGAAAGTCACAGATATGTTCGGTTTACCTTCTTCCCCATAATACTTTGAATTATTATGGGCCCATTTCATTTTATTTCTTCACTCTTCTACTAACCATTCTGCAGATTCCAAGTTGTTTCCTGCTGGCATTCTTCTCTAATAAGTTATTGTTCTTCTGAAAAATGCCAGATTGACAGCCTTTTAAACATAAGTCTTGTTCCATTTCAGTCCCAGGAGCTAGAGTTGCGTTTACTGAAGTAATGCGTTCCTCTGGGCTGCCAGGCTCATTTGACTCACCGCTGATGAAGGAGGGCTCGCACTAAATGCCTTCTACAATATATTTACTCAGGGTCTGGCAGCCTGGATGATTTCCCAAGAACATTTGGAGTGGTGATTTGAGGGACTGCTAGACAACCCATTTAATATACATCTTGGGAGGAGGGAACCCTCCCTGGCACCTCTTCCAGTTTGCTTCTAGAGCTGCCCTGTCTCTTAGAAGCAGATTTGTTAACTTCCTTTTGTTTGCTCTTGGTTTTTCCTATAGTGACAAAGGCAAGCTTGATAAGTCCCCTGTGGGCAACAGTGTTCTCTTTTCAGTGGAATTCTCTTGGGCATTACAGGATTTTGTTCAAAACCAGATCTTACCTTGTCTCAATTAAGGAAAAAAGAAGGTAAAATGCAAATCCCAGGTGGTAAGGACTAGGCTGGAAGGTGTGAGGCAGTGAAGTGGAATGAGACATTATCTGAATATAAAGTGAGCTAACGCTTTTTCTTTTCCCCTTCTAAGGTGCCACCAATCCATACACAGAAGCAAACTACAAACCAACCTTTCTGTCAGATGATGAATTGAAACACCTCATTCTCAGGGTATGTTGCAATTATGGGATTGTTTTACACAATATTTATTTTTACAAATTTCAGAGTTTAAGTACCAGCATGTGGGAATTTGATGTCTCAACACTGAACTTTTCTTAGGCCCACTTCCTCTTTATCTTATTGTTTGGACAGGCTTCACATTCCTCCCGAGGCCTTCCTCCTCCTCTCCTACCCTTGCTTAGGCAAAAACTGAAGGTCTGTGCTACTGTGATTTTAAGTGGGAAGAGTAGTGTTTTGTTTAAAATAGGCGGTAGTTAAGGATCCCAATCCTGCATGAAGGTTTTAGAAAGGGACTGACACTGAAAATAATTGAGAATTTCTCTGAGTCTCACTTAACCACTAGCACAAAAACATCCACCGAAATCTGGACACCAAAATCCCTTCAAACGAACGAAACTTCCAAAGACTTCATGATTCAGGGGGGAGAATAAATGGAGGAGGTGATGCTTTCGCCTGCTTGCCTATTAGTCTTCATTCCTCGCTGGCCTCTGCCGAGGCAGCTGAGGCAGCACCACGGGAACCGGCCTCCGTGCTGAATTAGGTCTGCACCGGGCTCCAAGGCATGTTCCCGGCAGAGCAGAGTTCGCCTGCGGGGAAAGAAATAGAATTCAGAAGCATGTCCTCTTGCAAACTGTAAGAAGAAAAATAGAAAAACATAACTAAAAGGCCCCCCACCGTCAGGGTCGACTCGCTTGCTAAGGCCCCTGCAGGATCTTGGCACCCTTCTCTGAGCAGATGTTTGCAAAGCAGATGTCAGTCCAAGTGGATCTTTGTATCACCGTTACCCATGTTCATCTCAGCCCGGCTCCTCCTACCCTTCTTACTGGCCTGTCTGCTTACTCCCGTATCCTCTGTCCTTCCCCTTCAGACATGCTGTGTTAATTGGAAAGCTTTCAACTGCAAGGAACAGAAGGCGGGATGAACAAATAGCATTCTTTTGTTTGTTTGTTTAATTTTTAAAAATTAGTTTACGTGAAATATTATTTTGTATTGGTTTCAGGTGTTACTGCATAGCAGTTAGCCAGTCATATACTTTACGAAGTATCCCCCTCCCCCGATACTTCCAGCACCGGACCACTGGTAGTTATGTACGAAATAGTCATGGGGGTGTAAAGTACAGCATAGGAAATAGTCAGTAATATTGTAACAAATCGGGCTTTGTTTCTCAAGTGTGGCTGGTCCTGGGGTCGGCTGTGAGGGGCCAGCGTGGTGCTCCAGCGTGGCCAGAGGGAACCAGGCCCTTGGTCTTCGCGCACAACCAAGCTGGGCCAGCAGTGCCGCCATTTCCTCCATGCGGCAAGATGACGGTGCTAGGGGAGAAACGGCAGGGGAGGCTCCCGGCCAGCGGTCCTTTTCATCAGAAAAGGATGCGCTTCCTGGAAGCCCAGCAGTGGACTTCAGCTTGTGGAGGAGATTCACCTGGTCCCTCCAGGGGGCAGGTTGCCGAGCAGGGCTTAGATTCCCCAGCCTCCGTAACGGGTAGGCGAGCAAGGGAGAGACGGGGTTTGGAACTGGTGCCCCAGCAGCATTTGCCACACACACTTTCCAGAGCCACGTCTGTTTGCTAGATTTCCCTCTAGGAGTGGCTCTCAAGCCCTAAGCAGACCTTACCTGTGGTCCGCTTGGGACCTCTCTTGCCACAGAAGCTGTCTTGGTGCCACTTTTTGGGCAGCTGTAATACTGCCCCTTCCCAACTCTCTTGTCATGAATTATTGTTAGGCCAGGTCTTTTCCATCTGGTATAGATGCAGTTCATTTTTGTAAACTTCTTTTATCTCTGTCAAAATATTTATTAGACGGTCCCACATTCCAGCTTGTCATTAGCGATCTTTTGAGGCTTCATGTGACTTGTAGATCTGATAGGCATACCTCCTGTGTCTTCCATTTTCATTCATTCTCTATTTCAACAAACTTTTTTGAGTACTTCCTGTAAGTGCATTGCACTATTCACTGATAAACATGTTAAGGTGGGGCCAAGGCTTCCCAGCAAATCAGTGATGATCTGTTGGTCGCCACGCTCAGGGCACGGTTATTCAGACCCACCTCTGCCCTCGCCTCCCCACCCCTTTCCAAACAGATGTCCTTGTTGTCAGAGGGGATCTGCTGAAGTTACAGCCGTAAGCCATGTCTGCTGCATCTCTGGAGAAACGAGCAGGGCCAGCGCCATGGGCATGTGACCTGTGCAGTCGCACAGGGCAGGTGCTTGGTTCTAATGTTCTGCTGTCGCCACGCTGAAAATCATAATTTTTTGTACAAGAGTCCCTGGATTTTCATTTTGTACAGAGCCTATAAATTATGTGGCTGGCCCTGGCTGGTGTGGCTCAGTGGATCCAGTGCCAGCCTGCAAACCAAAGGATTGCCAGTCTAGGGCATACGCCTGGGTTGTGGGCCAGGCCCCCAGTAGGGGGCGAGCAAGAGGCAATCACACAATGATGTTTCTCTCCCTCTCTTTCCCTCTCTCTAAAAATAAAAAAATTAAAAAAAAAAATCAAAAATAAATAAATAATATAGCTGGTCTTGACTGCCACACTGGTACTGGTAATTTGATGTTTTTAAGAAAAAAAAAGTTTATAAATTGTGTGTGTGTGTGTGTGTGTGTGTAAAGCTCCTTTTATAGTGACAAATGCTTAGTAATTTTCTTGTTGCTGCTTTTCTAATTTTCTATCAGATGTTCACACTTATTAGGGTATATAACAAAGATTTCAATGCTATTCAAGCTGAATACTCCATCTTGGACTTGCCTTTCCTGCTCTTGTTTCCTGCCACACCGGTGGGGATCTCCCTTCCCCCAGTGAAACTTCTCTTTTTTCTCCGGCACACTGCAGTGGCCGTGAAGTCCTGCCCCGCCCCTTGCCAGGTCCAGGTACCCAGTTCCCAGGAATTCGTTTCAGCAGATGGCAAGGGCCGCTCAGACTGTGTCTGAATAGTCTGGCAGCAGCAACTGGGCTTCTGCCTTTTCCTCACCAGTGCAAATCTGACTAATTGCTTGCTTCACCAAGTACTTTCAAAATACCTTTAATGAACGGCGCGGCAGACAGCAGTCTGCCGGATCAGTCTATAGTATAGTGTCTAGCTACTCTGCTTCCCTTTGGTTTGAAAAGTAGGCAGACCCATCCAGGGCTCTGGGTTATTCAGTCCTCCCCAAGAGCGAGCCGGCCTGGGCTTTCCGCTGTCCCCACACCTCTGCTCTTTAGTTGTTCTCTCGGCCCTCGCTGCTTCCCCTGATGGTGTCCGTCTGCCCAGTGAAGCAGGGTCAGAATATCTCAGCCTCCCCTGCACTGACTGTATATTCACTGGCCTTTGGGGACCCTGGCTGGGTCGAAATCTACGCCACCCATGTCCTCGGTTCAAGCCTGGCTCTGCCCCTATGTCAGGAGGTCGCAGTCACCTTCTCCCTCGGCACCTTTTGTGCCTCGCCGCTTCATCAATGAAAGGCCTTGAAATACTTCTCTTGTGGGGTATAAGATTGTCTGCAAGGCAAATGAGGAAGTTATTAATACCCTAGTTTTTGACAGAATGAGGCTTCCAGCAGATGGTACTCGGGAAGCCGCTTCCCCCTCACTGTCATTCCTTGCCCCTGGACCAGCTTCGAGGCCTAACTTAGGAAAAGATCCTTCCTAGCTCCCTCCTCGTTGGGTGGCCCACCAGCTTCCCTCACTTCTACCCCAGCACAAATGCATGCGCCATTCTTTAACCTTCTGGCACATGGATTCATTTCCTAGTTTTTTAAATTAAACTATATCTCAAAGGTATATTTTTTTGTGGAAAAAGGAATGGAGTTTTTCTGTTTTTTCAAAGAACAGACTGAGCACTAGTGAATGAAGCAAGATGTTGACCCACTATGTGCTAGAACTGCAGGAGGTGAGGAAAGAGCAAGTGCGTGACAGAGTGGGGATAGGTCCCCGGTCACTCGCATTCCCCCAGCAGGGGCTGAGTAGTTGTCTGTCTGAAAAGTTGTGCCTAGGAAGCAAGCACACAAGAACAAATAGCCTAAGATCTCAGATACTATAGCTTTGGCAGTTATCGGCTCAGTCTCTCTAACAAGCACTGCTCCGTCTCTATACCTGTCTTTATTGGCACTTGAGATTTTTACTTGTGTTTAAAGTGAAGAGGCGGTAAGAAGAATCCAGGGAGACATTTTTGCTTTTCTTACCTCGTTTAGGAAGAAACAACCTACCCCTGGGTCAAAGGATAAAATTTTAAGAGCTGTAGCTTTCAACCCCGTGTACATTAGAATCACTTCAGGGCAGAAGTTGGGGATAAAACAATGCCAGTGATCCAGCCCAACTCAGATGATCAGCATAAAACAAAACAAAACAAAACAAAACGCTGCTCCAAATGCTGAGAACCACTGTCCGGGTGCTCCCCAAAAGGGAGGTGTTCAAGTTGACGACAGACGGTGGCTGAGGTATTGGAGAGGGGATTCTGGTCCTACAGATTTTTTTCTTATCTCAGATTCTAGGATTGTACTTAGAGTTGTTTTAATTAAAGCAATAAAACATGACTTCTCTGGACTTCAATGCAGTCAAAGGAAACTTCTTAAGCCGAATTCTTCTCTGAAATAGAATTTACATAATTGGACTTTCCCCTGTAATGATCAGATCATAGATACGGATATCGATATAGATATATAGATCTGCCTTGGAGAGAATCTTGTTTTTCTCATAAGCCGTCTGTTTTAAGCATTCTGTCCCCCCGGACACCGGTGAAACTGTCCGTGAGAACAGTCCTGTGCTTTGGATACTTAGAACACCAGGCCTTATTTGCTATCAGAGTGATTGCATCCTATTCCTTGAAGTGTGATAAATTGATTATCCATTTCTCCTGATTAGGCAGCAGATGGATTTTTGTTTGTCGTAGGATGTGACCGAGGGAAGATACTCTTTGTCTCAGAGTCTGTCTTCAAGATCCTCAACTACAGCCAGGTACTGCTCCCCCGGGCGCGGGCAGCCGCGTGGCAGCCCCAGGGGACACCCCTGTCAGGGTAGTCGCAGAGCACCAGTCATGCGCGAAATGCGTGTATTGTGCCCCCACCCAGTCCTCCTTCCAGAAGATTCCTTACTTGTTAACAGAGAAATGAATTTAATCTTGAAACATACATATATTACAAGATTTTTCTGTGTTTCTGCCATTTGAAAGGTTTGGCCTTGATCTCGGCAGCAGCGTTTTAACTTTCTTATTGCTGCAAAATAAATATCCCACAACTATGGGGTAGGGGTGGGGGGTGAGGGGCAGGGAGAAAGGTAGGCGGGCAACGCAGCACCAGAGAACGCGGAGACTGGGATGCCGCCCATGCTGTGTTTGCAGTGCTGTGTCACTTACTAGCTCTGTTGAACCTCAGCATCCTCTAAAAACTGATTGCAATCGTCCATACCATCTATGAATGTTTGTAGGGTCAAAGAAGATAAACATTAATGAAAGCTTCTAGGGCACAGCTTTTCACCTGTTATGTCCCTAGAGTTTTTGTTCACTCATTCATTCCTTCATTCATTGCATGCCGGTGGTTGCATGAACACTTGACAAGGCAGAAGAATAAGAGTTAAAATAACATCTGTATGAATTAGAATTAATGTAAATTTAATGTGTTCCCCGTGTGTTACCCGTTTTAGCCTTACAAGAAAGTTGTAGCGGGAATGTTTATTGTCTCTGCTAACAGAATGGGCTGTGGGGGCTTCAGAGAGTGTGAGGCAGACCCCTGCCCAGCAGCCCTCCCCCCGGGGCCTCAGAAGGGGCTCGGGGGGCCCCTGAAAGGAACAGGCACACACACAGGTGGAAGGCCCCTGCCTTCAGGGAGCGCGAACTGCTTACGTAATCAAATCTCTTTCCCTCGTGTGTTATCGGAACCAGGCTCCCCATGCCTTGTTCATTGTGTCCATATCTAGGCGAAGTGATTGCATGTGTGTACATGTTCACATATGAAATGTTTGCCATTGTCATGCTTAAAATACAAAATAAAGGCAAAGCGCTCAGATAATTTATATTTTACATGCTGTTGACCTGTCACTTTTGACGGTTCACCCCCACAGAATGATCTGATTGGTCAGAGCTTGTTTGACTACCTACATCCTAAAGACATTGCCAAAGTCAAGGAGCAGCTCTCCTCCTCCGACACGGCGCCCAGGGAACGACTCATAGATGCAAAAAGTGAGTACAGAGAAGGCTGCCGCTTCCTCGGGACCCCGCTCAGGCCTGAGCACCGAGCGAAGATCGCAGACTGTGTGCAAGGGGCTCAGCCCCTGGGTCCCTTCCTCTCTGCCCTTTATCTGAGCCACAGGTGTTGTCTTTGGCTAAGTGGAATTAAGTACATTCTTTTGTATTTGTCTTTGTTTTGTTTTACATAAAGGAAAAAGCCTCAACATCCAAACTCATTGAGAGGAAAACAGCTACTTTGATTAGATTCTTTCTAATTTTTAGTCATTTATTTTTCAAAATCAGAAAATTCCCTGTTGTACTCTCCTAAGTTTAAAGGGCTCACACAAGTTTGATTTGTTTCCCCTCCAAAAAGAAATCATCTCTGTTTGCCTGAGGTGCATACTTGCAGCCTTACAAAAGTAAGAAAACTTAAAATATAGGTACGATGTTTCTTTGACTGACGTGGTTTCTCATTATATTGGCTTCCTTTCCTGGCTTCCTTCTTGTAAGAGTGGAAGCACTGTTCACAACACACCCCAGCTTCCTGGCCTGCACCTCTCCTGTGCCGCCCGTGTGAGGTCCCTGTGGGTCCCTTCTCCTGCAGTCCCTCGGGAGGCTGTGCACTCCCTGTGCTGCAGCAGATGAATGTGGGCTCTGGAGTCAGATTGCTGGACTCACGTCCTGGCTCCACCAGCTGTGTGACCTTGAGCAAGTTTCTGTACCGGAGCTCTTTAACGCGCAAAATAGTACATATTTCACTGAATTATTATGAGGACTGAACATGTTAATAGGCAGAAGGCAAGTGGGACAGTTCCCGGCACGTCTAAGCACAGTTTCAGGGTTGGCATTCCCCTCGGCCCAGGGCAGCAGCAGACTAACTAGTTTCCTGCTTCCGAGCTCCCACCATAACTCCTGGAGGGAAATACCAGCAGAGGAATCTCCTTTAAACCATTCTTTTCATTAAAGCACTCACCCCTCTTCTTCCTAATAGTACAATGCAGCTCCTGGTTCATGTTGTCCTTTATAGTCTGGCCCTTGCAATGTTTTAGTGACCTCAGGAGAAAAAGATGAATGGCAGTTGGTCCCTACCTTTAAGGCCCTTACCATGTCGTCATGGAGACAGGAGACAGACAGCTCCCCACATAATAGGTGCAGCCATAGAGAACAGATGATTCATTCTCATGTGGGCACGGGGAGAGGCCTCACTGAGTAGGTGACAACTGAGGTGGGTTTGAAAAGGTGAATTAATGTTTGCCGGGTGAGGAAGAGAGGAAAGGAGCTGAGGAAATGATCTGTGGGTGGGAGCAGAGGTGCGGCACCCGCATGTGGCTCCCGCAGCGGCCTGCTTGGTGCTGCCTGAACAAAGCATGTGGAGGGAGGGGGAGGCTGCAATGTGAAGACCTTTACGTCTGTGGGGACACAGTGAGGGCTCTGGGCCAGGTGGGTCCGGCTCGGATTGGCCCCCTGGGGAAGGCCCCTGAGGCGGCCCCACGGGGAGGCAGGTTGCAGGGGGAGGCCCGGGGGGAGCCCTGGGCAATGAAGGTGCCCTGATGGTTGCTGCCGAGGCAGGCAGTGGGGCGCGTCCCCCAGACGTGAGCTGCAGGGACAAGCAGCCAGTGCGTCTGTCAGGGTCACGGCCAGAGCCTGTCCTCCACAGACTCTAATTCAGTTGGTTTAACACAGCACAGTCCAGTGGAAACATAATGCGAACCACAAATAAGAGCCACATTTGTGATTTAAAATTCCCTTGTAGCTACATTGAAAACAGTAAAAAATAAATGTAAAACTAATTTTAATACTTTATTTAACCCAATAAATCCAAAATGAGATCTTGCACTTTTTCTTGTGCTAAGTCTCTGGAACCCTGCGTGTTCACACAGCACACTCCAATCAGAGCAACTACATTTTGCTGCCTGTAGCCAGTGGCCACCGGGCTGGACAGCACAGACCCAAAATGGGGTCCAGGAATCTGGATTGAGAGTTTAAGGGTGTTCTGCTTCATTCTTTCCATTTCAGTCTCCACATCCTGCCCATCCTTCCAGTCCCAGCCCCACGTCTTCATCCTCTGGGAAGCACAGGTTGTTTCTGCCATTCATTTGCCACTCATCACCCATCACCTTGTGTTGCCATTAATTTTTTCGTGGTGAACTTCCATTGCCCACTCTCAGCCGCAAGCTCCTGCTATACAGGAAGCCTCTGCTGTATTTCCTTTTCTCCCCTGGGCCACGCAGGCCATCCACCCAGTGGCTGTGCCCTCTGAGATCTAGAAACATGACCAGACCTATCCCTGTTATGTCTTTTAAGGCCTAAACTGAGGAGAAAGGTTATTCTCACATCATCATTATAAAACTGTGAAGCAGGAAAGAAAAGGCTTTCTTCAAGGTCACATTCCCCGTTCTGACAGACACGACCCTCAGTTTATCACATTTTGTGTATTGATTTGCAGCTGGACTTCCAGTTAAAACAGATATAACCCCTGGGCCATCTCGGTTATGTTCTGGAGCACGGCGTTCTTTCTTCTGTAGGATGAAGTGTAACAGGCCTTCAGTAAAGGTTGAAGACAAGGATTTCCCCTCCACCTGCTCAAAGAAAAAAGGTAACCATTTAACAGCCTGTTACAGGGGAGGCTTGCTTTCTGCACTGGCGCCTCAGCAGGGGGTTGGTCGGTGTCCCCCACACTGGCCAGAGTGCCAGGTTCCAGGACTGCAGCCAGGACCCCACTACCTGCCCCCCACCCCTACCTACAGCGTTGGACGGTTGGGAGCAGGGAATGTTGGAGATCTTCATGTGTTGCCATGATGACCGAGATTCGTGGGAAGGCTTCCTCTGTTTAAATTGTTGTAATTGACTGGGAAGGAATACTACCATCCCCTATTCTAAAGGCCTCTTGAGCAACCCACCAATCCATCAAAATTACTCTTGCTAAATTCACCAATGACCTCCATGCTAAATGCAATGTATGGGCACTTCATTTTCCTTCCATCCGGAAGTGTTCTCCTCTAGGATTCTGTGAAGCCACATTCTCCTCATCTGCCTCATCCTCGGTCACTCCAGGCTCTCTGCCTGGTTCCTTCTGATGGCCCCTCTGTCCTGGGCCACTTCTCTTTTTCTGTCTCTGCTCTCGCCATAGATGGCATCATCTACTCCCTCAGCTTTCCATGCCATTTATATTTCAGTAACTTCTGAGTTTATATCTCTAGCCCAGGCTTCTCTTTTGAATTCCAAATGCATAAATTAACTGCTTATTAAATCTACCCGCTTAGATATCTCAAAGGTATCTCAAACATGATAAACGTAAAAGTAAGCACCTCCTTTTCTCCTCGCTATAAATAAATGGCAGCAAAAACAAATAATAAACCAAAATATAAACCACTCTCCCTCGAATTGCACCTCCCAGGAGCCTGTGAGGCACCCTCGCCCCCTAACGCTCCCCCAACCCCGGTCACAAAGCCTCACCATGATAAATTCCTTCTGCAGAAGTTGTGTGTTTATCCACCTCCGTGTTCACCGCTGTCATTAGATCCAGGCTGCGCTCCGCTCTCCCCCAGTCTTTGCAACGTAGGCTCCTCACATTTGCCATCTCTTCACACAGCAGCCAGAGTGATCTTTTTAAAAGCCTATCTTTTTATCAGTTCCCTATTTAAGACCCTTGGATAGTTCCTATTGCTCTTGAAGAAAAGTGAAATCGTTAACATGATTTGTTTTCCACAGTTCCCAATGATTAGCACAGACCCGATGCTTATAAACACTCCATAAAGATTGATTTATTGTTGGAATCTAAAGGTGCTCCACACTTATGTCCCAAAGTGAAATCTTGACTTCCTCTAACATATAACTCTCTTCCCCGAGTCAGCGACCTGTTCCAGCAACCACTCAATCTAAAAAATTTGGAGTTGTCTTCCTTTGCTTTCCTCCACGCCAAGTTTTTGGGTGTTCACGCCAACTCCCAGGAATTCTCAGAAGCTTCTCCTCCTCCTGGCACAGCCAGAGCTCAGGCTGCCTGTGTGATTGTTCTTCCAGTTTACCTGTCCTTCTGCTTCTAGAGCATGCAAGCCCTGGTTTGATTTTGCTGTTTCCCCCCTTCAATACCTTTGGAAGCTCTCCGTTTCCTACCAGAAAAGACTAACACAATTGGAGCAAAGAATCCAAGGCCCCTGTAGTTGCCCCCAACCAGCCTTTCCAACTCTCCCCCCAGCCCCTCACTTTCCACCTCAAGCACACAGAGCTCTCTGCCACTTCTTGTACGGGGTACACTTCTGTGCCTTTGTACGCCCTCAGCCATACACATCCTACCCCACAGCCAGTGCTCATCCTTCCTGCTCTACCTCCCACCTTGTTTTTCTGGGCGACCTTCCTTTCCCCAGGCAGACTTAGATGCGCTTCCTGTGGTTTAACCAGCTCTACTAAGTACATATGACACTAGATACTAGTTATTTTTCAGTCTTCTTTTCTCATTGGATGCTCACTTTTAGAGAGTAAGGCCTTGTTTTTCATTTTTTGACTCCCTCCCAACATTCCTGCCCACCATAGGCTCCTTACTCATGGCTCCTTACCCCAAAGCCACACTGACACTAACCATGGACTTTGCTTTCTAGCAGATCGAAAAAGTTTCTGCACAATCCACAGCACAGGCTATTTGAAAAGCTGGCCGCCCACAAAGATGGGGCTGGACGAAGACAACGAACCGGACAACGAGGGGTGTAATCTCAGCTGCCTCGTTGCAATAGGACGACTGCATTCTCACGTGGTCCCACAACCAGTGAACGGAGAAATCAGGGTGAAGTCTATGGAATATGTTTCTCGGCACGCCATAGATGGGAAGTTTGTTTTTGTAGACCAGAGGTAAGCGTCTGCATGTTACTCTTGAACAATAATGGGAGATTTTCAACCCTGAGTAAAGCAGAGACAACTGGGCAGTCTGCTGGCTTACCTAAGAATAGAGAGAAGGAAGTGGCGGGGATCTCTGCTGAAAACTGAGACCTGTAAGAATATCATCATAAACACAGAGATTTTCTCTGTCATTCTTTGTCATGTGGAAACTACATGCACTTGAGTAGGGTGGTCTGATGTCTGTGGTCAAAAAAGAAATACTAGGCATAGCACGTGTGGACTGTGTGAGGCCCATTCCTGTGCTTGGATTCTGGAACCTAGGACTTGGAAAAGAGTGTGTCATCCCCAGGTGATTGGTAATCTCATATGGCTATTCAAGTTTTAATTTAACCAATTAAAATGAAATGAAATTAAAAATTAAATTCCTCAGGCTCACTAGCCACATTTCAGGTACTCAGTAGCCACAGGTGGCTCATGGCACAGATAGGGCACATTTCCGTCATCACAGAAGCCCTGTCGGACAGCGCTGGTCTAGTGCAAGCTCATCCTTTACGGATGAGGAGCCCAGGCCTCCTCCAGGGTTCACACTGACTGGTAGGAGAGCCCGAGATCCCAGGTTTCCCAGTGCTCTCTGTTGCCATTCAAGAATATTCACAGGCTAGTAATTTTTCTGGCTACTTTAAAGTCTCTAAATGCTGGAATAGAAGATGGCCGTTTTCCAAGGTCCTTGTGGCTCCTGCTGCCGGAGCTTCTGGTGTTTGGTTCTCCTGATAAAAAGTAGCCGGTAACATGGAGAAATTCTGCCTGGGGCTTAGATTCCAACCACACTTTTATCTAACAAGGGATTTTTACCTGAAAATGGTACTATAGTTGCCATTTTTAACCTCCTAAAATTTGATTTCTTGTTATAACAACCCCTTTGAAAGGCTTCGTTGCTTTCTTTCCCTCTGTTACTATAACCTTGGTAAAAGTCAGTTGCATGAATTGAATAAATAAATAAAATCTCCACATAGTAAGCCCTCTGAAAATCCACCCAGCTTTGACCTTGTTCTCATTGGCTGTAGCAGGGCTCATCCACTGCAGAGATGCTATTGTCTGAGTGGCTTTTTTCTTTTTCTTTTCCTTTTAATATTCCCTTCTAGGGCAACAGCTATTTTGGCATATTTACCACAAGAACTTCTAGGCACATCATGTTATGAATATTTTCACCAAGATGACATAGGGCATCTCGCAGAATGTCATAGGCAAGGTAAGCTGGGCTGTACAAAGGATCTTAAATTTAAAATGTCCCCCTGCTTCTAGATGAGTCCACATACTCTTCCAGAGAAACCTGCCCCCTGTGGTGTGGGAGCGAGTCAGCCAGCCCAGGAGTCTCAAGGCCAAAACCTCTGTGAGCAGAGGAAGCTGAGGCTCCCAGGCCCTGTTCGCCCCCTCATAGATCTCCCTCCCCTGCCTGCCCAGCAGTTTCCCGTACGCACGCCGGGGTGATTTCTGGAAGGCATCTCTTATTCAAAGGACTGATCAGACCCCATGAAGACTTAGTGTGGCCCAAACAGTTCTAATTCTCCTTTTCGTAGAATCCTGCACTGCTGCCTGTATTTTCCTCCTGCCCGATGTCTGGCCTCGTGCTGACCCCTTCCTTTACTTTGTCAGCCCCCAGGCCAGCTCCTTCGCCTCAGACGGGAATGTCCACAGGGGGCCCTTTCTGCCCCTCCGCTGTCCTGGCTCGGGCCCTTGTGCGCACCTGTAACTGACAGACTCCTGACAGGCCCCCTTCTCCCTTCTGTCGCCCATGGTAACCCTGGTAACGTCCCACTGTCGGGGTAAACCTGCCTTCTCACTCAAAGCTAAATGCCTTTCAGAGGCATTCAGGACCTTTTCTTCTGGGTCCGACCTACCTACTCAGCTCCACCGCCTCCCCTACTTCCGTGCCGGCAGAGGCCCAGGGACCTTCTCACCATCCCCAGGCCTTGTGTCCCCTGCCTCCGCTTGGCAAACCCGTATTCATCCCCCAAGGCTCCAGGCTTCTCCCCTGCACAGCTGCCTCATTTCTCTCCTGAGGGTGGCTTTCCTCTTCCGTCTTGTCTCCTATCTGCAGGGACTGGCACAAGAAAGGTGCTCGTTACGTGTCTGTTACATAAACAAGTAGGTTTGAATAGGTGAGCGACTTTTTTGGACTCAGGTGTCCTAAAAGTGCTGTCCTGCCTTCGGACTTTTTGATGGGAAAGGAGCACCGCCCCTGTGCACAGGGCCTGCTCCTTAGCAGGCGTTCACGTCATAGCTGATTCCAGGCGGACGTCGATAATGCAGCCGGTCGTGTCCTGGAGCCTTCAGTTCACACACTGAAAACGAACCCCAGCTTCCCAAATGAACCGAAGGCTCTGAATCAGCCCCTCAGAAATGCCCTGTTCTCTGAGGTGCTAGCTTCTGTGCTTATTACAGAGCGAGGGCCTTGGAGGCTGATGCACTTAGGATTTGGTTAGCATTTTAATCCCCTGATCTGAGGCAACAACAGTGTTCATGGTTTCTTTGCATTTTCAGTTTTACAGACAAGAGAAAAAATTACAACTAACTGCTATAAGTTTAAAATCAAAGATGGTTCTTTCATCACGCTGCGGAGTCGATGGTTCAGTTTCATGAACCCTTGGACCAAGGAAGTAGAATACATTGTCTCAACCAACACTGTTGTTTTGTAAGTGTTTTTCTTATATCAGAAGTTCCTTCGCTTCCAAATGAAATGCCCTAGGCTCCTCACCTGGGACAGGGGTACAGGCAGCAGCCAGGAGCACCACGTCATTTAATGCCAACACCCCGTGAAGCCTCAGGGTTGGCAGAAGCCAAGAGGCTATTAAGAAAGGACAAGCCTCAGTGTCCATACCACTCAGGCCCCTGGCTTGTGGCCTTGCTGCAGGAAACAGCGACATTTCCTCCCCGATGAAGCGGCCAACCTTTGAAAGCTGCAGACCCTGCACCCCGGGCACCCCAGCGCTCTGTGGAGGGAAGGGTTGGCAACCCATGAAAGGCTCACACAGGCTCAGCCCAGGCTGGCCTTGGCCGAGGATGGGTGGCTATCCATGGCCACCAGGCTGGTGGCCTGAGTGCTGGCGGCTGGAGTACCATCTCCAAAGCTGCCACCTGCTAAGTGGCAGGGAGGGGAAAGACCCTCGCTTTGGCTGGGCCTGCTCCCCACACCTCCTTCCCCGTGGTGTCCGGGCCCCCCACCCCCGTGGTCAGAGCTGAGGGAGGGCCTGGGGCTGGGTGGGCTGCAGGCTGGCAGGAGAGGAGGCCCTGGGGCCGCGGTGGTGGGCTGTGCGGTCACCACCCCTGCCGGCCTGTGTCCCACGTGAACCAGGAAGGCCCAGGCAGGCAGTAAGGCCAAGACCAGGATGCTGTCCACCGTGTTACGACACAGCGAGCAGACCTTTTGAGCTACTCAGACAGACCCTTCGTTTTCTGGCCTGTCCAGGTCCAGAGTGGACACCGGACACCTTGGCCAAGGTGAAAGGTGCACGGTTCTGAGCAGGCCTGACTCACGTTTCCTTATTGCTGGGATGTTCACAGAGCCAACGTCCTGGAAGGTGGGGACCCAACCTTCCCGCAGCTCACAGCGTCCCCCCACAGCATGGACAGCATGCTGCCCTCTGGAGAAGGTAACTATGCACGGCCGGGGCATCGGGGCTCACCCACAAGAAGCTGCTTGTGACCAAAACGTCCCCCCAAGTATTCAGGGTCCCCCGCCACCATATTCCTTGGAACAAGGGAGGCCTCTAGGGGATAAGCATTAAGGACATGGTCATCTCACTTCCTCTGTTGAGCCTGGAACACAGAGAACTTGTTCTTGCCTTTTCTGAGGCTGCTTGGATCCTGGAAGCTCTGGAATAAACTCCTTGTTCCTCTCACGCTTTCCCTCCCTGTGTGGCCCGGGGGCTGTGATGTGAAGTGCGCTTTGTTGGCTTTGATGGCCGGCCCTGGTTCCGGAGGCGGGAGGAGGGTGCCTGTCAGCAGTGGACTGGGTGCTGTACCCTGGCGGGGCCCCTTCCCGGGCCCAGCCCTGGCCCTGGCCCTGGCCCTGGCCCCCGCTCTCTGCACTTGACCACCCTTCCTTCTTCAGGGCCACCTCTGCTTGCATGGCTTCAGCTCCTGCGCTCCCCACAGATGAGTCCTGCGGCCAGTCTCTCCCCCGCCTCCTGGAGAGATGTGCCTGGGGCCCAGAGGCTCCAGAAATTCAGCACATCCCAACTGACTCCGCGCATCCCCATCTGCCTGGTTAAGCCAGAAACCTAGACTCCTACCCCTCTCCTGTTACATCTAAACATGAGATCCTGTCTCTTTGGTCCCTTAAACCTCGCTATCACCCCTGTTGCTCCTTCACCTTCCTCGTCTGTTGCCTGGATTACTGCCAGTGACTTCTAACCCTAGCCTCTCCCCCGGCCCCGCCCCATCCTCCACTACAGTTAATTCTCCATGCAGTGGACTTTCTAATAACCAAATCTAAGTCATCGCCTCTTCCGGATGAAGTCCTTTGATTTCCCTGACCCCTTTGCGGATACTGCCCACATCTGCTGGTGTGGACTCCAAGGCCCTCCGTGACCTGATGGGCACCCGCCTCTCCCATTTTATCTGTCATTGCTGCTTCTTGGTCACCCATGATGAGTTTCTTGGAGTCTCCCGAGTGCCGGCACCCAAGGTGCACACGTTGGGTGCTGTGCCTGGAATGCGCCTCGCCCTTACCTCTCTGCCAAGCTCATTTATACTCACCCCCGCTCCGTCCTCAGCTCCGAGGCAAAGTCTTCCAGGAAGCTGCATCTGGCCCCGGATGAGCTTGGTGCCTCATCCTTACCTGTGCGACTTAGCCACTCGGCTCCAGCCATTGTTCATCTTGTGTCACCGCGTTAGACTGCAAGCCCCTTGAGGGCAGGGACGCTGACTTAGCGCGGTGCAGCCCAGAGGGGTTCTGGGTGTGTGTGTTGGTCCCATGAGGGGAATTAGATTCTTCATGTCAGTGCTTTGGCCTCTGAACCTGGAAGGAAACCTGAGCCTTTTCCTATCAAGCTATGGCTCCGATGTCCCTCAAGGCACAGCCTTAAGGTTGAACTTCGAGTGGGTCATGGGATGAGCTGATTTTATCTTGACACACAGAAGCCTCTCTCCCTCGGTTTTCCCCTTTCTCACGCTCGGATTCTTTGTCGCAGGTGGTCCAAAGAGGGCCCAGCCCACTGTTCCAGGGATTCCAGGGGGAACCAGGGCTGGGGCAGGAAAAATAGGCCGAATGATTGCTGAGGAAATCATGGAAATCCACAGGCAAGTGCCGTCTTCTAGTTGCTCCCTAAGCTGGTCGTTCACGACCCAGGGCATTCTGCACACTACCCACCCTCGGGAACATTTTGCAATGTCTGGCGACAGTTCTGGTTGTCACAGCTGGGTGGGAGGTTTCTACTAAACATCCCCCGATGGAGGCCAGGATGCTGCTTTCTAAACATGCTGCGTAGTTGGATGCATGTAGTTGTACCCTGCAGTGCACAGGACCGCCTCCCTCCCCTTGCCCCCAGCAAGAAAAGTCCTAGTCCAAAATGTCAGTAGTGCTGACCGACATGGAGAACTCCTGCCTTAAATAAAGAGAATAACCCCAGTCTGGAACTAAAGGGAACTCTTTGGGAGGCTCAACTTCTTAATTACTTAATGAGTGACTCGAAGGTGAGGGGGGTGAGCACCACGTTACAGGGCCGCAGGCGTCCATCTGCGAACGGCAGAGTGGCCTGGGCCTCGGCTAAGCAGGAGCTTCTTGCCGTCACAAAGCCGCCAGGGCGAGTCACGGAGAGCAGGCAGAGCGCTCCAACAGGAGCTCCCTTGGGCAGCACCTTTTTTCCGTGTGAGACCAGGGAAAGCAGTGTTCCTGGGTTTGGGTCCCGGGCCCCCACTTGGCTGTGCCTAGGAGTTTCATCTAACTTCCCGGTCTCTGTTGAATTAAACCCTAAAAGGGACGCAATCTCTCTCTCACAGGGATTGCTTTAGGATTGGGGGAGAACGCAGGAAAGTTCCTAGAACAAAAACTGACAGAGCGCTCAAAAATTGTTAGTTAAATCTACGTCTTCAAGAGCAGTCATTGAGAGGGAAATAGTTATAAGTCTATTTGAATTTGGGGAACGGAGAGAGTGGGAACCAGGTAGTAACAGCAAAAGGGAAGAAATAACTCTTCCTTGCTGACACTGGATGCTCGCAGGAGAATGGCCTTGCCTTCTGGTTGGCCACAGTGAGGCTCTCACCCCCGGGGGGCAGCAGTTCTCCAACCCGACCCGCCTGAGGGCGAGACTCCCGTCCCCTGCGGGAAGATGGGGGCCAGTGTGCAGCGCTCACCAGGCTCTCACCGGCCACTGCATCCCTGTGCTTTGCTCGGGCCGTCCGAGAACAGTGTAGAACAGTCCTTGACCTCAAGGATCTTAAAATCTTGAGGAGTCTATTTTCTTTATGATAATAGGAACAGGGGAGAGTGTGTGGGATGAGGCAAGCAAGTAAGAAAGGGTTTGAATTTGGTTGAAGCTGGAGTTTGAGATGAAGGTGAGCATTCCTTCTAGAAAGGACAGGCACCTAGTGGAATGGGCATGTGAGTGGCTCACTCAGAGCGAAGAAGTGGGCCACCTAACTAGGCAGCCTCTTTGTAGCACGGAGCCACAGAGCTAGGATGGGAAATTTCTAGTATTACTAAGAAATGATGCTGCATAGTTTAGACCGGAAAACATTTTAAGACCTCAGTCATTCTGGGATGCTGAACAGGTGTCCAGAGTGATACTAAGCATTGTAGAAGTTGGATTGATACAGGAAGAGCTGAAGGTGAACATATTTGATAACCCAGGAAGGAGGCCCGCCCTACAGTGATGGCACTCTCCCAAGACAGAAATGAATGACTTAAGGGCTAGATATTGATGATGAAACACAAAACAATGGCCCTGACTGGTGTGGCTCAGTTGGTTGGCAGTCGTTCCACAAAGAGAAAAGTCACCAGTTTGATTTCTGGTCAGGGCACATGTCTACGTTGCAGGCCAGGTCCCCAGTTGGGGGTGTGTGAGAGACAACCAACTGATGTTTCCCTCCCTCTCTTTATTTCTCCTTTCCCCTCTCTCTAGAAATAAATAAATAGCCCTAACTGACATGGCTCAGTGGATTGAGCACCATCCTGCAAACCAAAAGATCACAAGTTCGATTCCCAGTCAAGGAACATGCCTGGATTACAGGCCAGGTCCCCAGTTGGGGGTGTGCCAGAGGCAACTGATTGATATTTCTCTCCCTTTTTCCCTGCCTTCCCCTCTCTCTTAAAAATAAATAAAATCTTAAGAAAGAAAGAAACGAATAACGAAAAGGCAATTCCAACATGGGGAACCTGGGGAAATAGTGGTCTCACAGAGGTAAGGAAAGGAGAGAGACATTCAGCACTTCCTCAGTAAGCAATTAGTAGCCATCTGTCTGTGCGCCCTCAGAGAGAGTGGCACATGGTTGTATCCTGCCTTTGAGAAGCTTATGATCCAGGAGAGAGAGAACGCTTGTTCACGCACAAGCCTATAGCACTAGGCAGTACAGGCCAAGAGCTAGAAGGCTGCTGGGCAGTGAGGAGGGGCTCGCAGGGGACCCAAAAGCAGCTTTCATCCATGTAGGAGCTAAGAGCCTGGTGGTCACACAGCTGCCACCATATTCTCCTTAAACTCTAGCTTCAGTGTCAGGCTGTGGCTCCCTTTCCTGAGGTCCTCCAGCCTGACAGGAGTGAATGTGGATTTATAGTCCTAAGTCTGTCTGTAAACTGACTATGCTGAGAAATACGCCAGCTGAGAAGGGTCAGGACCCCCTTTTCATCACCTCTGGCCTTAAAGGACAATGCCAAGCTACTTTCTAGGTGTGGCTGAGCCACCGCAGCACGCTCCATTTCCTAAGAGTATTCATTAGCTAAACAGTGTTTGCAGGGAAGAAGATAAATCATTTGCTGTGGGTTCCAGTTCACAGCATCAAAGATAGAGACTGAACTTCTGAAGTCCCCTCTAATTCTGAGGTCTGGGTTTTGTGAGGAAATAAACTTGAAATTCCAACGTGAAATCCAAACCCTAATCCAAGGGCATTGTCATTGAGATACTTGACTCCAGGGATGCTAGACTACGTGCCTATGGGATAAATCCAGTTTATCACCTGTTTTTGTAAATAAAGTTTTATTGGAACAGAATTACACCCAGTCGTTTACTTAATGTCTGTGGCTGCTTTCACGCTACAGGGGCAGATTTGAGTTATTGTGACAAAGACCATATGGCCTAGAGAGCCTGGAGTAGCTACTACCTCCTTTACAGGAAAGGTTTGCCAAACCCTACCCTAGATCTTCATCCTTCTTCTTCCCCCAGCTCTCAACAAAACACACGCGCACTTCCCGGGGAAAAAAGGCAAGGCAGTGTAACTAACTGCTCTCTCCTCCCGCAGGATAAGGGGGTCATCGCCTTCCAGCTGTGGCTCCAGCCCGCTCAACATCACGAGCACACCTCCCCCGGACGCCTCTTCTCCCGGAGGCAAGAAGGTAAGGCAGGCTGCTGATTGCCCTTAGACCAAGGCTTTCTTAATGCAGAGAGCCTGTTGCCCAAGTTCCGAAATGCTGGGGTGAGAGTATGTAATAATAATTGTGGTTGCCGAAACAATTTTTTCCTCCCGGAAGTAAACGCACCTGTGTGAGGCTAGGTACAAAGCCTACTGGTGGGGCGAGGGTGGCTTGCTGACATCCTTGGAGGATTAATGCCATGCGAGTGGGGAGAAAGCAGAAAGATTATTCTAAGAACTGGGGAACTATCAGTCCACTGCACTGAGGGAGCAATTGAAGAGCTCCCACGAGGAAGGATCAGTGAGTACCACACACAGAAAACTGTCCAGTTTTCTGCCAGGAGTTTCCCAGGGAGAAAGTATCATCAGTGTCCAGTGCAGGGACTGGACACAGTGACACCACCAGCAGGGCTTTGGAAAGTGAGCCATGCTTTTGCAGTCACAGGTTGCTTGGGGACCCGCCACCTGGGTTGCCCGTGATGTGACAGCATGGCTGCATGTGGTTCATCCGTCGCCGGCCCTTGTGAACAGCGAGCTAGAAGGCTGCACTGTAAGCAGGCTTAGAAGCAGCCCATCTGTTTCATCTTTGCCAGAGAATTTACAAGTCTAGTCCATGGTAATAGTAAATCGTAAATCTGTTTATAGTGCCCCGTGTTAATGTAGGTTAGGGTGACCCACGGGCCAGCATCTTTACACATAAAGTCTTCCTCCTCCTCTCTTCCAAAATGCATGTGGAAAGAATTAGTAATTTACACAGATGGGACTCCTGGGGCACAAACCGCAGCAACAGCAGGACCTGGGTTTTCAAAACAGGCTCCTCAGAGGCCCAGCCTAGCAAGAGCTTGGTGCTGCTGATCAGCTAGGGGCAGGGCCAGCCGGGGAGCAGAGGGAAGGGAGGACTCCCGCGCCTTCCACCAGGGCAGCTTTACTTGTTATAGATGAATCTTCCATAAAAGTTTCTGTTTGAAATAAAGTTTTGCTTCCCACCCACCCCTCAAAATATTGTTTCAAAGGCAGTAAATTGATGGGTAAGAGCATGGTCAAAGTCCGATAGGCCTGGGCTTTGCCTTCTGCTGGCTCTGCGATCCTGTAGTTTTTAAGCCCTAGTTTTCTTTATAACGGGACTGCTGTGGGTTGGGAGAGCCAGAATTGTTCCACAGGAACTCCTTTCATGAGATAATAGGTGAAAGTGCCTGGCCTTTGGTAATGACGCAGAAATACCATCGAGTAGATGAAGCCTGGACTGGGTACACCCCGCCACCCCTGCCTGCGGGCTGTGCTCTAGGCTCTGGTCCCGTTACACCGCTGGGTCCTTCCCCCGTGTGGAATCCACTGTCTCCTACACGGGTTTCGCTTCTCTACTTCGCAACTCCCTGGTATCACCAGGAAGCCCACCACTCTGTTTTGTAAGGTTATCAATCCAGGGTAATGCTTGAATGTGCTCAGGGAGCTTTCAGTGTATTCTCTCATCGTGTCCGCACAACTTGAGAGGTAACAAAATCCAGGCTCGCAGCTGTTAAATGATGAGCCCAGCATTTTAGTAACGCTGGTTCCAAACTACATTCAGGTCTCTCGACTTCTGATTCTTTCTATACCAGTAGCTGCAAGAGATGAAAGAGCATGCTCTGCATCACAGAGCTCCAAGTATTTTTAAAGCATTCATGAAAAAACAAATTTCCTTTCCTTTGAGCTTATAAAAGTAGGTCTGAGAGGAGAAATTCTGAATATATTCTCTGAGTCCTCAGCAGCAGGGCTTGTGGGAGCAGCCTAAACGAGGTAAGAGTTTAAAATGACAGCAGCAGGAAACAGCACACCAAAGCCACAATGCTTCCAGCCCTTGCCAGTCACTTTCGAATTTGGCACGTCTGAAAATGCTCCACTTAGCCTGCTAGTTGTTTCGGTCATGGTTAAGCTAAAGGAAGAGGCTAAGCAAGCCTCATTATTTCCAGGAGAGTCCGGACATCCAGAAGCAATAAGGTTCAGGCAAAGCAGCAGTTCCTTAAATGTCATCTGTGGCCTTTTTCTGGGGGCGAGGGGGGCGGGGGAATTGGGGGGGCAAGATCCTTTCAGGTCTCTGCAAAATCCGAACTGTTTTCATAATGCTAAAAGAATTTTCCTCACTGTGCAGATGTGTGAACAGATAGTACAAAAGCAATGTTGGGTATAACTGCTGGTGCTTTTGCAAAAATCAGGGCAGTGACACCAAACCATGCTAGGAATTTCATTTCTTCACTGACAGTTTCAGTTAAGAATGTCCTTAATGATGCAGTAGAAAGAGCTGCTTTTATAAAACTCTTAAGTTAATCTTTTTAATACTGGTACAGAATGGAAAGTGTGCATCAGGCACCTGTACTGCACACCAAAGTGTGACCATTTTCTCCAGGACAGCACAGGTGTGATCGTGCAGCGCATGAGCCGAACAAACTGCTGTCATCATAGGGCACTACTTTTACTGTTGTAAACTATGGCTATTCAGACTTGGGTACTGAGCGTACATTTTCTTGAAAATAAATGAAGTAATCTGTAACTTCAAGGAAAACAACTGACAGTGTTTGTTGCCAATGATAAAATTACAGCTTTCAAGTAAAAATTAGAATTTTTGGAAAACTTGTTATCTGCTACTTTGAGCTCAACAGTTTTCTAAAATAATCTAAATCATCAGAAATATTTAACAATGGTGATGTTTTTGATGTTGTACAATGAAATGTGTCAACGTTTGGAATATCTGAGTAACTCCGCTGAACCAGTATTTTCCAAATGACCAATGCAAGGTATTCTATTTTGATTTTGAAAATACATTTATTAAAGGTGGGGACAGTGAAACAAAGAAGTGCTTTAGGACGGAAGCAGCAGGAGAGCCTAAGTGGGGCTGCTGTGGCTCGCTGAGAAGCCACAGTGAAAAAAGCGAGCCATGGCTGGGCTCTTGTCAGCTCACTGGGGAGTCAGAGAAGAGGGGGCCTTAGAGACAGGTTCCAGGAGCTATCCCAGGACAAGCTGCCGCTGCCCATTGCCCTCTGGTTGCAAGTCTTGTGGGGTCCCTTACAAGTTAGGAGATGCACACCTGTGGGAGAAGAGGGGTAGAGGAAGGTGCTGGCATACTCCCAGGAGGGAGGGCGCGCCCAATGCAAGGTATTTTAAAATTATGCAAAGATGAAAGACCCATCCTAAAATGGATATTCCAATGGATTTTAACATAAATACAAAATTTCATTGATATGGTTTCAGATTCCACCCTGCAATGAACCTTTTGAGAAACTTCCACTTACTGATTTTTTATTATTTTTTTTATTTTAGAGAGACAGGAAGGGAGGGAGAATGAGAGGGAAACACTTATGTGAGAACCATCAATTGGCTGTTTTCCATATATGCCCCGACTGGGGACCAAATCTGCAACCCAGGCATGTGCCCTGTGCCCTGACTAGGAATCAAACCAGCGACCTTTTAGTTTTTGGGACAACACCCAAGCAACTGAGCCACACTGGCTTGGGCCACTTACTGGGTCTTGTGATACCAAAAAAGAGTACCACAATTACTTGAAGTTATTAAAATACACCCTTTCCAACTAACCTGTGGGAGGCCAGACTTCCTTCATATACTACAATCAAAAAACATCTAATCAGACTAAATAGATAAGCAAATATGAAAATCCAGTCAAATTCTATTAAGGAAGATACTGGATTTTTTAAAATGTAAAACAATGACACCTTCACTAATTTTTTGTTGTTTTGGAAAAGTTATTTTTCATCAAAATGCTATTAATGTTAACATGTAATAAATTTATTACATTTTAAAATTTATTAGTTTTAACTTTAAATACGCTAAACACTGATAAATACAGTCTACATAAATGCAAGTTCTTTGAGACCTCAATTTTAGAGTGTACAAGGGTCTCTCTAGACCAAAAATTTGAACTGCAAGATAAAGCTGTAATGCCACCTACTGGCAAAGCCTGAAATCACTGCTTCTCCTAAAACCACAGGAGCTATACCACACAGTTTCCTCACCTACATTCCAAGATGCTTTTCTTTGAGACTCAGCCAGGGAAGGAAGCTGGCAGGGGAGCAGCAGACAGAATGAGAATTCTGCTACTGAGGAGTAATACAGTGCTTCTCAGGGCCTATTTTAAGAACATAAACCACTGGTTACCGGAGTGAACACCTGTAGTTAGTTCACTGGTGATGAGAGATTTATTCCTGGTGTTTTGTTGTTCATTTGTGACTCCTTAGAGCCATCTCTCTTCACAGTTGGTTAACAAGCCCTTATTTCTTCGACATCTGTTGCTGTAATAAGTTTACTCCCTTACAGGGGAACTGCCCAGCTGGGCTCATTGAGGTTTAGTCCTTGGCTTTAGAGAGACATGTGAGCAGCATGATCCAAGGTAACTGAATGCTCTAGGGACTTGATTCAGCCTTTGAATTGCCTGTGTGGGCTGAATCTAATGAAAAGAATAGTTTGGGGGAAGAGGTTCATTTCTTACCATGACTGTTCTTAAGTTTCTTGTTTAAAATAGTCCAATAGAAAACTAAAGCCATTTGAAGTTTTCTCCCACTTTTCAACATGATTCATATTCTTGTTGACACTACATATGATACTGATAGAAACTACTGGTAATGTGAAAACTTCACTGTTGTTTGCAGATTTTAAATGGAGGGACTCCAGACATTCCTTCCGGTGGCCTCCTACCAGGGCAGGCTCAGGAGAACCCAGGTTATCCATATTCTGATAGTTCCTCTATTCTTGGTAAGTAGCATTCTTATTAATATCCATTAAAATGAGCTTACAACACATCTGGCACAAAGTGAGTTTTAATAATGTGAATGTAAATGTACCAAATAAGCTACTTCTAGATGATTCGATAAGAACAAAGTAAAAGTTTCAAATTTGTTTAAATCTTTATTTCAGAGTTGAGTTTAATGGCTGAGTTCTGATGCATGTCCAGGTTTATCCCTGGAACTCAGGAGATTACAGCAGCCTATTCACAGGCTTGGTCCTACCCTGTTAGGACATAATCTCTTCAGGGCCAAAGTCAATGAAATGTTAGTGATAAAGCCTAGAAGGTGACCAGTAAGCATTTCAGATGGCAGTAAGTCATTTAGTGATGAAGAGTCTGCTTCTCCTATCCCACCTCTTTTTTAAATTATTTTTCTAGATCATCTTTTCCCCTAATATCTACTTTCCTATTTCTTTCCTTCTGTAACTCCATCCTTAAAATTGGTTTTATCAGAATATTAAATTGAGGACAACACAAATGCTTTTTATCTTTATTGCATTTTAAGCACCGTGTTTCTAAAAAGTTGGTTCTTCCCTCTGAAAACCCCGAAGTTAAATGTATATATACTGGCAATGTAGCACCGAAATAGCATCCCTCACCCTACTGTTAAGTATAACTTTCTTAATAAAAGTGTGCTTAGGAATTGCTTACTAAGGTAAACACGCTTTGGTATTGTCACTAACCAGTCCTTACCTCCTTGCACAGGTGAGAACCCGCACATTGGCATAGACATGATAGACAACGATCAAGGCTCAAGTAGTCCCAGTAATGATGAAGCAGCAATGGCGGTCATAATGAGCCTCTTGGAAGCAGATGCTGGGCTGGGTGGCCCTGTTGACTTTAGCGACTTGCCATGGCCGCTGTAAACACTACATGTTGCTTTAGCAACAGCTACAGTATCAAAGTGCATTACTGGTGGAGTTTTACAGTCTGTGAAGCTTACTGGGTAAGGAGAGAACAGCTTTTATGTACCGTCTTCATAAAAGCCATCTCAGAGCCATTGATACAAGTCAATCTTACTATGTGTAACTTCAGACAAAGTGGAACTAAGCCTGCTCCAGTGTTTCCTCATCATTGATTATTGGGCTAGCTGTGGATAGCTTGCATTAATTGTATATTTTGGATTCTGTTTGTGTTAAATTTTTTTAATCATTGTGCACAGAAGCATCATTGGTAGCTTTTATATGCAAATGGTCATTTCAGATGTATGGTGTTTTTACACTACAAAGAAGTCCCCCATGTGGATATTTCTTATACTAATTGTATCATAAAGCTGTTTATTCTTCCTTGTAAGAATCCTTTACTATAAATATGGGTTAAAGTATAATGTATTAGACAGTTAAATATTTTTAATAAATGTTTCCCTTGTTCTATAAATACTGTTCATGTTTCAAATAATTAGAAAAAAATTCTACATGCTACAAGGGCTGGATCATCAATTTTCTACAGTGGGTTTTAAGGACAGTCCATGCCAATAACATTTACACCTTTCTGGCCTTCATAACTATTCTGGGACTGACATCACTTCCCTGTGTTAAAAGCTTGGCTATTTTGTTTAGGATAGCTAATCTCCAAATTGTTGCAATTTTTATTTATGTGAGAACAAAGCTGTCACTGCTTGAACACAATTCAAATCCTTTTAAAGTACAAATTCAAGATTAGATGTAATAGATTCGTTTCTCTACCACAGCTCCTCTCTAGCAGTACTCACAATTGTGTGGCTTCCAACATTATGTGACCCCCAGACCCAAAGCACCTAACACTCTGATTCCTTCTTGAATTGGGTCACAGAATATTTAAAAACAATTTATATTATTTTATGATTAGTAGGTTAAAATAAGTGCCTCAACACACAGATACCAAGTTGGAGTTCCATGAGCTACTGTTTCCTAGTTATACTGACACCAAGACAGGAAGTCTGCTAACTATGAGACTAAAACTGGGCACGGTTATGAAGTTGATCAGAAACATTAAAACAATGGAATTTTTATTTTGATGAAAAACTCGAGTTTACAATCATTTAGTAAATGAAGAGCAAACACTTCATTTTCCTATCCCGTAACACTTAAGAAAAAAAATCATTAGTAAATAAATATCTGTGAACAGATTAAGGGTAAGGCAGACTGGATAATAAACCACCCATGACGTTCACATTTCCTGCATGTGACTCACTCTAAAAAGGTGAAAATGGCGCTGGAGATAACTGAATTGTTAAGATATGGGTATTGAATCTCTTTCTAATCATTCAAATGAGCCCAATGATAAATACTCATTTTTTGCTCATCATGGGCAGTAAACTATACACATTTTACTGAAGGAATACTTTGATAGAAGCACTTAAGTTACATTGTGCATCACAACTATAAAAATGGCTTCAACAATTCCATTTAACCACCATTTATAAAGTGCAACTATGTAATATTCTGCATTTTATCTGAGGTGTGATAAATACCAATCTAGACTGAAAGTACCCCAGCTGCCAATTTCCAACACTTCTGAAAAGATCTAGATGTGTGAAAAAGGACTGTCCCCCATACAAAGAACCAATTTCACAAACCCACTGGTAAACAAATACATTTATATAACTGGAACCTCAGGATGCTAGAGTTGTACTCATTTAAAAAAAACCATTCAGCTACCTTTGGTCTTTAAAAAAGGCTACACTGCAATATCCTAAACATTGTTATGTGCATCTCACGATGAAGAGAGTGGCCTTGCAGTGCAGGATGAGGAGAGTGCAACGTCACTGTGAAGAGTAGCATGCTATGGTTTCGAGGAATATCAGCATCACAGCATCGGATTCTGTGCATCAGGATCGAGGTCATTGTTGCCCGAAGGAGGGTGGATAGGAAGACTATCCAGCTCATCCACTTGTGGAGTTGGGTGCATGACTACCAGCTGGTCCTGGGGAATGTCTGCGGCAGCTGCTGCAAGGTTGGTGATAGATTTACTCTTTACACACTGAAAGTCCACATGCCGGCTCTTTCCTTCTTCCTTCTCCCAGGACATTCGGATAAACGGTCTTTGGACGTAGTTGTAAATCACTTCTGGGCGGCCCCCAGGCCTTTTCTTTATTTTCTCTTTATAGGTAGGATAACCTGGAGGAGAGAAAGGTTTTAAAAACTAAGGATACACACTCATACCTACATGGCCCTCCAACACTTCTCAGCCAATTTAGCCTAAAGATGGCTTTTTTCCTGTAGCTCCTGAGCAAACAGAAATTGAAGGAAAAAAAAGAAAGGAAACCAATATCCATTCCTTTAATCATCAGTTCAACAGCCAGAAACTGAAATCCTACTAATCTAATTCACAAAACCATCTACTATCCTCTCAGCTATTCAACACACCAACCACCAGAAAAACATTCTTTATGAGCATGGAAAGGATGGGTCTCAAATAAAATGGCATGTCATCTAGTGCATCTTGGGCCCTCGCTGTGTATCCTTAATATCCCCGAGCCCTTCCTTCCCCTTCACAGGATTATCTGGCCTCAAGATGTGCCTTCTTGATTTAACTGCCACATTTGCCTCCTACTTTCCTTAAACCTAAATCTCATTTTCATATTGCTCTGGGTTTTTCGTTCCTTTTCTGGTTAAATGACAAAGAGGTGTAGAGCTTCCCGGCTTCACTGGTTCTAGGTTCGTCTGCACCTAAGGTAAGCAAAGCCAGTATTTTAACCCCCGTATACCATTTTAATGGTTGCTGCTCCAAACCCCCAAGCAGTTCATCCAGATTGGCCATTCCAAAGCAGCTTTTCCTAATTAATTATATGTTCCTTCTCTTGGCTCATAGTCACTGAGAAGTAACAAGTCAGGACAATCCTAGTTTTGGAAAACTTTCAGTCATTTATCAGGTAAGTCAATTCTCCAAAGACATAACTTCCTTAGAAATTATTATGCATCCCTTTTTCCTAATAGCAAAAATTGCTAGTTTAGACCAGGAATAGCAAACGTTTTCTATAAAAGGCCAGAGTAAATACATAGTTGAGGCTTGCGTGTAGGCATGCGAGACAGAAACCATGGTATGCCACACAGTTCCTACCTCACCACTTGTTACACCACTGTAAAGTGAAATCAGCCATAGACAATAATACCTAAATGGATGAACATATTTATATTCCAATAAAACTTTATTTATAAGAGAACAGGGAACGGGCTGGGTTTTGCCCATGGGCCATAGTTAGACGATGGTTAGAATCAGAAAAATATAAAAAGGTAGCACTGGTAGTTAGTCCACATGCTTAGCCATGTGTGGAGTGTGGGTATGCGGCTGAGTGAAGAGGGCACAGGGGCAGGCAGGGCTTAAAGCCTTCTAAAGGCCTTCCGCAGAACGTCTCCCGCGTTTCACAGATCCAGTCATCTGCCACCTGAAGGTCAGCACTAGAGATCAGGAAGGTCTCCACCTCTATTCCCTTGTCCTGGATTCCTCTTGGACTACAAGGAAGTCTTTAAAATCCCCATCTCATCGTTTTCTCCACATAGAATCACCACTCCAACACAAGTGCAATCACAGTGCACCCACCCTTGCTTAAAACTACCAACAGTTTTCTCGTGCTTAAAGAGGAAGGTCCACAGTCCATAGTGTAATATGTGAAGCCTTTTTATAACCTGGTTCCACCAACTGAAATGTCTTCTCACAGAGGCTGTCCTTGTCTTTCCAATCTAAAGTAACTCCCAGTTGCTTTCTCTCTAGCTCCAAGACCAAGCAGCTAAATCCCATTGTTTGCAAAATGACAGAAGACACACACTGGTAAAACTGATGTGTCAGCAATTTCACTGCTTTTCATTCAAAGTCCCAAATCTTTTCCTCTTCCTGCAAAAACTGTTTCTGGTCATTCTTCCCTGCATCTCAGCAGCCCATTACAGTAAGTCCCCACTTAATGCTCTCAATAGGTTCTGTGACTTCAAGCAAATGATATAAGGAAACCAATCTTACCATAGGCTAATTGATAGAAACAAGAGTTAAGTTACAACAGCATCTCCTCAGTGTCATGCAGAAACAGCAGAACGACACTGTTCAAGGATCTGACGTTTTGTGATCTTCAACAGCTTGACTAAGTCATTGATCAACACCATTATCTCCACTGTCACCATCACACACACACACTGAGGAATTACTACACGCCAGGATTTGCTCTATGTGTTTCTCATGTATCAACTCATTCTATCCTCACAATAACCCTTAGATGAGGAAACTGAGGCACAGAGAAGTTAAATAACTTGGCCAAGGTCATATAGCTATTAAGTCATAGGATCTGAACACAAGCAATTTGGCTCCAGAACCTTTATTCTTTACACTATACCATGTTATTCCAAGAAAGATATTTTATCTGTACTAAGGAGATTTTAAAATAAAAGCATCATCCGACATAGCACCTGGAAAAATTCATTTAAACCATAAAGTAAAAAGCAATCTAAAAATGTATGGGCTCAGTCAAAAGTGCATTAGGACAAGCTATAGCAGAAAAGATAAACATACATCTCATATTGCTGGGGAATCTTATGGAATAAAAATTTCTAATGGCCTTCCATCTACTTTCTCAGAAAAAGGAAGTTGATTTTTGTTACTTATAGGTCTACCACATGACCATTTCAGAATCATTTATCTGAGTTTTTCCTCAAAGTATTCATACTATATTCTAAATGAGATCCAATTTTTTAACCTTGTTTTTTTCAAAAGAAAATCAACAGAAAATAATGAAAACATCTTACCTTCTATTCCCAATCTAATCTTCTTAAGACCCCTCTCTTTCAAAACTGATTTGGCCACATCTCTGTTTTCAATGTACTTGAAAAATCTATATAATTTTGTGCTATAAATAACTGAAAACAAAAAGACAAAAATATTTTCTTATTAAAATCAAAGTACTTGGTTGGAAATAAAAATTTACCTTGATCATCAAAGGGGCTGCCAATCCTAAATCCCAAATGGTGGATGCAGTGGTGCCAAAGGGTGACTAGCCAACATGACGGGACAATTCAGTACAGTTAATGCATAAGCAATACTTAAGTTGAAACAAGAAAAGCTTTAATAACTAATCAGGTAACCCAATCCATAAGAAGAAACTCCTTCTGAAAGATATATCATACATGAACTTATTGATATAGGATCTGCCCCAATTTCTTCAAATAAGAACCAAAAGAAGACATGAGGATCACATCATTGTCAAGCAGGCAAAGTACAGGACTTTGCTATGATGCCTACAAGGCCTCGTTTGGAAAAGGGGGAAAAAATGCCTTGTGAGAGGGTATGAAATGGATACATCTTACATTTCATGGATTGAGCAACTATTAATAACTCCCCCAAAGGGCAAAGACCCTCCCCACAAACTGTTTTCCATTCAGGCGAACAGCCCCATTTAATACTGATGTTAAAAATGGCAGATTCGAGCATGTTCTGCCTAGGTTAGTCTGTTTAGAGCAAACTGGCTTTGCAAAGGACAGACATTCCACTGACAACATGTTGAGTCTTCCAAATGTGCTGGGAACTTCAAGGAGTTAGACTGATGGACCTTCCTCGCCTTCTCTCTTTCAGGTGGAGTTATCTCCCTTAATAGATGAACTGCAAAGGTTTTTTCAAAAAAAGAAAAAAACACTCACAAACCAAACATGCTGGTTTAAGAGCCAATAAAAAGAAAATACGTATACAGATGTTAATCATGGGGTAAATTTGTGATTATTAACTATGTCCTTAAGATTACGGATATCTTAGGATAAATTTTTTTTTTTTTTTTTTGACATCTCAGAGTAAATGGTGTCATAATGTCACATTTAGGAACCTCAGGCTATCTCTGTCTCCTCAAATGCATCTTCCTTAGGTTGGAACATCTTGACACAAAATGAGACATATGTAGACAAGTAAAAATGTTTTCAGTCCTTTTAGGCTTCAAAGCTTAAGATAAAAAAAACCAAGGAAACAAACCAAAAAACACCGAAATGGAGAGCTCAACAATTAAGGAAAAGCCAGATGTTTTAATAATCCCTGTATCATCACCACTATTGTCAATTCTATGTCCTACAGTTGGCTCTACTCTTTTCAAGTCAAAACTTTTTCAGAACTAAAATACAAATAATAAGTTTGTTTATTCCTTTTTCTTATCAGAAAATAATGTAATATATTTCTTTTAATTTTTTGACAATCTTTCATTTTTTCCTGTGTTTTGTTCAACTTTTTATTCCACATATTATTATAGAAAACCATTGTCAGCAAAGAACCTAGGAATAAGGAAATAGTAATAGACATGTCTATTACTACAACTGCCCCCAAAAGAATCACAACACATTTAAGTACATCATGCAATCAAAATCTCAGTATAAACTCTGAAAAGTGCTACCATAATCCATGTTAAAATAATCTCTGGAAATCTTTAGAAGTCAAAAAGAATACCACTTGGAGTCTGCTTTGTTTTGTTTTTAGAAAAGGGTAAATAAAATGGAAAAATCATTAAAGGTTTTTGGTACTTTCTATGGTCCTGTACTTTCATTTAAACCCTAATCCTCACCTAGTCAGCACAGGTGGGAGTTCAGAACAAGATGCTGGGCTATTTTACCTAATTCCTCAAATCATTCTTTTGACTCTATCTTTTCTCAATCTATGAAAGTGATCAAAAATACTCTATTGGGTTCCTCAAGATAAATAATATAAATTTTCTAACAAAAAAGATCAAAAAGCTCTAATTAGAAAAAGTCTGGAAGTGCAGTAAGAAAAAAGGTGGTCACTGCTCCTCAAGATACGCTGTTTGGGTCAGAAATACCTAACTATAGTTCCATAAAGCTTCTTGAAGGCTCACTGTATTCTCTGAATACGTATGATATTTAAAAAGAAACATCTTAGAAACTGAAGTCACCCTTGAAATCAATGAATTGAAGATTCTCATTTTATATACAAATAAAAATTCACTTAAAAAAAAACACACAGCTTATTTCTTATAATCTACTCCTCTAGGATCTACTTTTCTAGGATGCTTCCAAATGCAAAGAAAAAAAGAAAAGGTCCATCAGGATCCAGATTTAAACAAAGAGCAAACTATCTCTGTGCATGTCGAAGACGGGCACACTTTCTGTAAAGGGCCAGAGAGTAAGTACTTCGGCTTGGCGAGCCATGCGGTCTCCACTGCAGCTACTCACCTCTGCTATTGTAGCACAAAAGGAGCCACAGACAATACATAAAACTGTATAAAAACAGGCAATAGGCTGAATTTGGCCCAGAGGCCATAGTTTGCTGACTCCTGGTATATAGTTAAAATTTCAATATACTTTCTTTATAAAAACTGTTCTTTAACCAATATATTAAAAATAGAGAATCAGTGATGATTCAAGAGAGAGAGAACATGCCATAAACACTTACTCTGTGAATATTCTTCTCCCATCTGGGGTGGATACTCTTCATCCCAATCAACCACATCATCGTCCGTAAGCACCACTATGTGGCATTCTCGTTCCCCACTCTGGGCACTAGCTACCATGAGAGGCAGAATCATTTCTTCTAGATAAAATTCAAACTGTCTACGAGCACCATCATTTGATAACTCATGCATTAGGGCACCTGAAATGAAACCCACAAAAAAAATGTTGATTTTTTGGTGAGGGAGATGACTGATAAGTAAAAGAAGAGCAGAAGCAACACTCAGAATATCAGATTAGTGCAGCATCTATTTTTAGACCCTATAGACAATATTGTGGTTATTCTTTAGTAAACAAAACTTTTCCTAGGAAGAGTTCTTACGGAACTGTAGAATTTTACAGAAAAAAATAGGGCCAACAATGGCATCCAACAATCAGCTCCTTCATCTTACACATCATAAAGTAATCTGCCTCAAGTAACAAAATTCGTAAAATCAGAACTAAATCCACTCCTACCCCTACCCCTAGACCAGGACTTTTTTAAAAACTATATCATTCTTCCCTCAGTAGATGCAATTATATCTTAAAGGAGATATTAAGGATATTTTTCAGATTATCAATATGAACTAAAATAGCTCCCATATTCTACCTCCCATGTTTTCTTTCTCAGAAAATTATTCACAAATAGCATCAATATTTCAGTGTAGAAAGAGGGGTCAGATGAGAAAGATCAACTGGTTTGAAATAAGGAAGGCAAAAGGCCAAACAAAATGCTGCAAGGTACAGGAATTACATACGTTGAGAAGGGTGAAGTATGCTCTTCACTTCATGCTCCTTAAGTACGTAATGAACAACTTCAACTTCCCAAATACACAGGCACACAAACTCATCTGAACTGACTTAATGTTTTTTCTTTTATTCGTGTTTCAATGGCAATGTCCTACCTCCTACTTAAGGCTCTACCATCTCAGGAACTACTGGGAGGGTTAGAGAAGAATGCAAGTACTCAAATCTGTAGTCTCCCAAAGGAGTCTACATGGAATACATAATTATAATAAGTGACTGATTAAATAATTAATCATCTATATTATTGTTTTAACCATGTCTCTCTCTAGGCTGGCTACTTCGCTTTTGAAATTCCATTTCTAGCCAAACTCCTAGATGTATCGACACATTCTTTTTGACCTAATTTCTGAACCTATTTCAACACTGGCTCCCACACTCATTACTCTTGAAAACTGCTCTCGCTTTAGTTTTCAAATGCCTTATGGATTGTTAAAGACAATGAACATCTTTTGATCCCAATCTCATTTGACCTCTGGGTTGAATGTCTCTCCCTCATCCTTAAAACGCTCTCATCCCTAAGAATCTCTGGTAACAATGTGCCTGGTGTTCTTTCCCCTCTTTGTTTTTCTCTAGTTACCTCTGCAACTTTCTCCTCTAGGTGCTCATTAAATATTGATGTTTCTCAGAACTTTATGGTCTTCCTCCTCACCTTATGCTGACAATTCCTAAATTTATTCTAATAATTCTGCCTTCTGTATTCTAGAGTCATTATACTCAACTGCTTTCTGGACGTCCCCACTTGGAAGCCACCGCGCAGGCACCTCGCACTCACTCAATGTATCCCAAATTGAATTTAATCATCTCTGCATCTCTCTGCAGTGTTTTCTAAATCAGTAAACAGCATCACCATCCACTCAAGTCCTCAGAATCATCTCGGAAAGACTGCCAGACATTGACAGGCACAGGCACTTAAATATCAGTGGAATAAATGGATGAATCCTTGATTCCTCTATCATCTCTTAATTCAATCATTCCCCAAGAGCTATTAAATTCCTCTTAAATACATTTTGAATTATATCATGTCCTTCTCTGGAAAATGACATTTTCCAAAGCTGCAAGCTCCCTTATGCCACATGCTTTTCTGCAATGTGACATTTCCATCTCCTTGCAAGAGGTGGAATCTAATTTTCCTCCCCTTTATCTAGGCCGATCACACTGACTGGCTTGTAACCAAGGGGGCATGGCAGAGACGATGGTGCATGACATGCAGTTCTGCCTTGGTCTGGGGAATGCTCACTCTCCAAATGCTTCCTCTCGGAACCCAGTCTCCAGGCTGGGAGAAGCCGAAGCCGCATGAAGAGGCCACGTGCAGGTACTGTTTGACATGCCTAGGGGAACCCAACCTTTTGAGTCATTCCAGTCCAGGCAGCAACATGAGAGTGAAGAAGCCCCCGACCTCTTGAGTCCCCTCAGCCCTTCAATTTTTCATAAAACAAGGCCTCAGACATTGTAAAGCAAACAAGCCGCCTCTGTTGTACCCTGAATCTTGACCCACACAGTAAAAATGACTATACTTTATGCTACTAAGTTTGGAATGGTTTGTTAAACAGCAATAAACAGAACACATTCCATCCCCATTGCCCCCACCGTAGTTCAAGTCATCATTAACTCTCACACAAACTACTGTAAAACCTCCTAATTAAATTCCCCCAACATTTGCTTTTGCCCCTCTGTACAGCAGAACCGCCTTATCCATGGTCTCGCCTTCTGCGGTTTCAGTTGGCCACAGTCAACCATGGTCCAAAACTATTAAATGGAAAACACCAGGAGTATCTGAGATCTTGTGCCCCAGAATGTTATCAATTTGGCTCAAATAAGCTCTTTATAAAAAGAAAGAAAATTCCAGAAATAAACAATTCATCCATTTTAAATCACATGCTGTCCTGAGCAGCACAATGGAATCCCGCACCGCCCTGCTCTGTCCCACTGGGACATGAATCATCTCTTTGTCCAGCATCCGCACGCTGTGTACGCTACCTTCCACCGGTCACCAGTAACTGTCCAGGTTATCAGGTGGACTGTCGCGGTGCCACAGTGCGTGTGTCCAGGCCACCCTTATTGTACTTAATAATGGTCCCAAAGCACAAGGGTAGTGATGCTGGCAATTCAGATACGCCAGAGGGAAGCCATAAAAGTGCTTCCTTTAAGTGAAAAGGTAAAAGTTCTTAAAAAAAAAAAATCCTTTGCTGCGGTTGGTAAGGTCTACGGTAAAACCAAATCTGTGAAATTGTGAAGCAGAAAGAAATTCATGCTAGTTTTGCTGCTGCACCTCAAGCTGCAAAACTCACAGCCATAGGGCATAGTAAGTGCCTAGTTAAAAGGCATGAAATTTATGGGTGGAAGATATGAACAGAAAATGATACACATATATGAGGTTCAGTATTATCTGCGGTTTCAGGCATCCACTGGGGGTCTTTGGAATGTATTTCACTCAGAGAAGGGGAAACTACCATAAATCCATTTTCCTCATAGTGGCCAAATCTGTGTCTCCTAGTTTAAACCTTCCCTGGCTTGTAGTATCCTTAGAATAAAAGTCCCAAATCCTCAACTTGCTCCATAAAGTCCTGTTATGTGAAAAAGGAGGTTATAGATAAATGTGTATAGTCCTTTTAAACAATGTTCTCTTTAAAACTATCCATATATTGATGACTCCCACATATTTAGCCCACATGTCTCTCCTGAACTTTATATATGTATACCCAGTATCCCACTCAACATTTCCACTTGGATGTCTAATAGGTATTTCAAACTTAGCATATCCACTGTAATTTCAATTCTTTTAGCCCTAGGCCTTCATTCCTGAGTTCAGCACCTGATTCTCTAAACCTCTTCTGGGTTACAGTGCTAGCCTAACAAGAGAATGTGAACATTGAAGAAATTTACAGCCTAGTTGGGGAGCTACTACTTACCGTAATTTTCTTTACATGACAGAAGACTGAGAAGTCAGCCCCTCTTTGTACTCATCTTACTTGTAAACATAAAATTCCTTCTGCTTGGAACACATTCCTCTTCCCTTTCCCCTGAAATGCTTCCTCAAGCCCCCACGCCTGAGTTGGGTACTGTTCCTACAAGCTCATTTTAGCACCTCATTCTTCCTTTAACACCATAATTTACTTGTCTGTCCTCCCCACTATACTACAGGCCATCTGAGAGCAAGGACCTTACCTTTTTTTGTTGCCTTTTATATACCTAATATCTGGTATAAATTGAATGCTCAATAAAGATGCAGAAAATGACTGGTTACTATGTAACCATTAAACAAACTTATTTAAATATATTTACTAGTAATATAGTTATTCACAATATATTTCCAAGTGGAAATATAAACTAGCACATGTAATACTACCCTCTAATATTCTTCTTTTAATTCATCTTTATTTCCTAATTTTGCTTCCTCATTTATCTTTTTTAATCTTTACCTGAGGATAATTTTTCATTGCTTTTAGAGGGAAAGGAAGAGATAGAAACATTGATGTGAGGGAAAAACATCAATTGCTGCCTCCCATACACACCCAGACCAAGGATGAGATGCACCCAAAACAGGGATCAAATCTGCAACCTCAGTATGTGCCCTGACTGGGAATCAAACTCACAACCTTTTGGGTAAGGGACGACGCTCCGACCGTGTCACCTCAGCTAGGGCTTTGCTACCTTGCCTTTTTAAGCAAACCCTTATTTAACAGTGTGTCAAGACTAGTAATTTAATCTTCAAAACAACCCAGTGAGAGAAGTATTACTGTCTCCATATTAAAGATACAGCCACGGAAACTTTGGTCAACGTGACAGCTTAGGTAAACAGGGCTCGCCTCCTCACATGTCCACGTAAAAATTACAACTAAAATACAGAACACAACAATCACTTAGAACCATCAGAAATCAAGCTGAATGGAAGTCTGACAAATAAGGAATTAAAGAAATCACATAAATCTAGACTGGTAGGAAGGAGGAGAGACAGAATGGTCTGGCCCCTATCCACATGTGGTGGATAAAAATTCAGGGGGACTATCTCGGGAGCAAGGAGTCCCAGCCCCACACCAGGCCACACAGCCCAGGGTTCCAAAGCCAGGAAGATAAGTCCCCGTAACTTCTGGCTGCAAAAATGAGTGGGAATTGAGTCAGTGGAAGAAACTACTGGAGTCCTAAGCAGTTCCTCTTAAAAGACCCCACAAACACACTTACTCAGACTCACACCCTCTGAGCGCCAGCATTGTGGTAAGCAGCTTGAAAGACAACAGTGGCGTAAAGGACAGAAATAAAGTGCCTGAGATCAAGGTGGGAGCTGGCAGACAGTTTTCTCGCAGACAGTTTTCTCGCAGACAGAAAGGCAGGCAGAGGCCACTGTCCCTTTTTTGAATCCTCCCCTCACAGAGCCAAAGAGCCAGCAGGTGGGTGCCATATCTGAGACTCCATCAACCTGGCTAACACTGCTGGGGGAAGTTTGATGAGGGGAAACTCCATCAACCTGGAGATGCCAAGTCTCCATCCCACCCAAGCCATCAACAGTGACTTTTCCATAAGAATGTCTGGTCTTGGCTCATGCTTCACATATTCCTAAATCCTTTCAAAGAAGCAACAGCTGGCCTCAGTAAACCTCTAACCCCCATACCTCTTGTTGAGTGGTGCAAGGCCATGCACAAGCAGCAGCCAGCCTAGATTCACAGCTTGGCTTCGCCTGGGAATATCCAAGCCCAGCACAAGTAGCAGCCACCTCAGATGCTTTATAGCTCATGTAGGGTGACCCTGGGCAGAACACAAGTGGGGGATGACCTTGGCCTGCACCACCCGGGAAACCATAGAGCTTGCACACCCAGTCGACAGCTATAGACCACACTGGCGCACCACCAACCTACTCCTGCACAGCTGATCCTCCAAAGAGGGCATTGTATAGTGGTCAGAGGTCACAGCCAGTCCTTGCAGCTGACTGGCCTGAGTAAATCCCTCCCACTGACCTACTAATAGCAATCAAGGCTCAACTACAAAAGGAGCGTGTACTCGGCCCATATGAAAGGCACACCTCAAGTACCCAGCTTGGGTGATAGAGGAGGCTGTGCCACGGGACCCTCCAGGGCCCTTACTACATGAGGCCATGCTACCAAGACAGAGTCATAGCAGCTCTACCTAATACCTAAAAACAAACACAGAGAGGCTGCCAAAATGAGCCGACAAAGAAACATGGCCCAAATGAAAGAACAGATCAAAACTCCAGAAAAAGAACCAAACAAAATGGAGATAAGCAATCTATCAGATGCAGAGTTCAAAACACCGCTTATAAGCACACTCAAGGAACTTAATGAGGATCTCGACAGCATAAAAAAGATACAGTCACAAACAAAGGATACACTAATTGAAATAAAGAACGATTTACAGGGAAAGAATAGTAGAGCAGATGAAGCTGAGAATCACCTCAATGATCTGGAACATAAGGTAGCAAAAAAAATAACCAATCAGAACAGTAAGAAAAAAAAAGAATCCAAAAAAAATGAGGATAGTGTAAGCAGCCTCTGGGACAACTTCAAGCGGTCCAACATTCACATCATAAAGATGCCAGAAGGAGAACAGAAAGAGCAAGAAATTGGAAATCTATTTGAAAAAATACTGAAAGAAAACTTCCCTAATTTGGTGAAGGAAATAGACATGCAAATTCAGGAAGCACCGAGAGTCCCAAACAAGATGGATGCAAAGAGGGCCACTCCAAGACACATCATAATTAAAACGCCAAAGGTCAAAGATAAAGAATCTTAAAAGCAGCAAGAAAAAAGCAGTTAATTAACTACAAGGGAGTTTCTATAAGACTGTCAGCTGATTTCTCAAGAAGAAACTTTGCAGGCCAAGCAGGGACTGGCAAGAAATATTCAATGTCATGACAAGCAGGGACCTATAGCCAAGATTGCTCTACTCAGCAAAAATATCATTTAATATTGAAGGGCAGATAAAGAGCTTCCCAGACAAGAAAAAACTAAAAAGTCCACCACCAACAAATCATTATTATATGAAATGTTAAAGGGACTTATTTAAGAAGATCATCAAAACTATGAACAATAAAATGGCAATAAATATATATCTATCAACAAATGAATCTGAGAAACAAAGCAAACAAGAAAAATAAAGACAGAATCATGGATACAAAGAGCATTTTGTTGGTTGCCATATGGGAGGGGGGTTTGGGGAATGGGTGAAAAAGTTAGGGGATTAAGAAGTACAAACAGGTAGTTACAGAACAGCCATGGGGGCATACACTGCAGCACAGGAAACGGAGCAGCCGAAGAACTTACACACAGGCCCCATGGACATCAACAATGGTGTGGGGACTGCCTGAGGGAGTGGGGGTGCTAGATGGAGGTGGCAGAGGGGGAATGACTGAACTGTAATATGATAATCAATAAAATATAACTTAAAAAATAAAGATGAGGCAACAAAGAAACAAGGTTTTAAGTAAGCTGCTCAAGAAACACAGAACTCTCTATTCAATAAACATTTAGTACTTATTTCTTTTTAAGTTAAGAGAGAGACATTTTGTTGCAAAGTGTCATTCCGATATTCAGTAAAGGCACTTATTTGCAGGAAAAATTTCATTTTTGGACTCAAATCTACACCCGCAGTATCCTTTTATCTGTCTTCACATTCTATATAGTTTTGTTTTAATAAAGTCTATGAGAATCTCTAAATTTTTAGTTACACAAATTGTAATAGAAACTATTACAAGTATTATTTAAAAATCGGAAGTCTAGGAAAATCATACTACTTACATTTTATATAAAGATTCTTACCTTTAATTCCATAGCAAATAAATGAAACTTAACAGTGATGACAAGGTAAACAATGCCCAAAGGATTACAGAACTAAAATCTGAATCATCTGTAAGAAATTCTACTGTTTTTTTAATCTAACAGTCACCAAAATTCAGTATCTAATTATATGAAGTTAAGTTCAAATGGACCCATGAATTAATAAACACCAAAACGTAAAGTCTAGGATCTAAAATTAGAAAAATGAATACTCATGTTTTCAACTAAAAAATATTTCTTAGTATGTGAAGAAATAGCAACTTTGTTCAAGTTTACAATTGTATGTCACAGTTGTCCAACTACTTGACTTTAAACATTTAAATATCATTTATAGAGAAATGGACTCAGAGCTGGGCCATACCCCCGTTTCATCCTACCTACTGATATTTTTATGGACACTTTAAGGAATGTTTGGCAAAAATAAAAAGGGACTTAAGGAAAGACTTAAAAGGCCACTCACTTTCAAAATTAGAGAATAACTAAGCATGAAAAATAGTTATATATAGTATCCAGGAGTTACCTTTCAAAATTTAAATAAGCCTTGGCTGGTACGGACTCAGCTCAGTGGACTGAGCGCCGGCCTGTGAACTGAAATGTCACTGGTTTGATTCTCAGTCAGGGCATATGCCTGGGTTGTGGGCCAGGTCCCCACTTGGAGCATGCCAGAGGCAACAATCAATGTGTACACCTCTTGCACACAGGTGTGTCTCTCTCTTTCTCCCTCCCTTACCCTCTCCTTAAAAATAAATAAGATATAAAAAAATTTTAATAAAATGTCCTGTTTACAGTTTCCAACACACCAGTCTTTGAAAGGGTATGACACCACTCTGCCAAGCTAGTGCTGAGTTTAGGTAAAAGTAAAGATAACCATTATGTCTGGTGCTAAAATAAGGCTATAACCACAGATAAGAAACTTTTAAAACAGCTTCCCACTGTATATAAAATAAAATGTAAGAACATCAGTTTGGATTAAAGATGTTCCATAATAATCTGGCCCACCTATTTATTCCTGTCACCCTCAGATCCAACTAGGTTATTTCCCAAAGTAAATCTTTTGTGGCCCTGGCCGGGTAGCTCAGTTGGTTAGAGCCTCATCCTGATACACCAAGGTTGCAGGTTCAACCCCTAGCCAGAGCACATACAAAAAGTAACCAATGGCCCCGACTGCTGTGGCTCAGTGGGTTAGGTGTCATCCCGCCAACCAAAAGGTCCCCAGTTCAATTCCTGGTCAGTGTACACGCCTGGGTTGTGGGCCAGGTCCCCAGTTGGGGTGTGTGAGAGGCAACCAATTAATATTTCTCTCCCTCTTTTTCCCTCCATTCCCTTCTCTCTAAAAATAAACAGAAAAATAAAATCTTTTTTTTTTTAAAGCAACCAGTGAATGCACAAATATGTGGAACAGACTGATGTGTGTTTGTTTCCCTACCCTCCTTTTTCTAAAATCAATAAATGAAAATTAAACAAAAACAGTTTCACAAAACAAAAAAGTTCATCTTCTGCATCTTTACTCAAAAAATCCCAGGACTTGAAATGACCTCCCTACTCTATTCTTTCTAAATTATTCCTATTCATTCTTTACTACCTGTAACATCTGAACTTTCCCCTCAACCCTCTAGCCCACAGTAACTTTTCTTCTGAACTTCTCCAATCACTTAATATCCAAGTCAACATTTGATAATTCTCATATACTATTTTGACTTTTCTGCATACATTCACCTTTTTTTCTTAGGCATGCCATAACAGTGAAACGGCAAGGGCATGAGAAGGTTGTGAGAGGAGCATATCGATCAAAGAGTTAGGATTCCCAAGTGCTAGACCTTGCTCTGAGGCTGTGGATGAAATTCTTGAATAAAGTCCCTTAACTCTTTGCATGAATGAGGGCTAGGTAGTCAATCTGAGATCTTTAATGACAAATACTGTTTTTGAGAATTATCTGTATCTTCCATAGGGGCTTAGAATATTATCTTACATGTTATGTACAAAAAAATTATAAATTTTTGGTTGCTGTAATCTCAGGAATAAAGCCAAACACTACCACACTTCACCAAAGCCAGGGCTCCCAAGCTGGGAGATAAAAATGGCACTATTTTAGGCTTTCCATTCCAATATATTGTAACTGTACAAACATTCCAATACATTGTAACTGTACAAACTGTACACACACAAAACAGCATACTTACTGAGATCTCTACATTTAATAGTACTATATTCAAAAGAGATACAAAGATAGTCACATGCTTCTCTCAGTTCAGGAATAGATATGCCATCAGGACAGCGGATTACTCCCGTTTTATAGTAATCCTAAAAAAAAAAAAAAAAAAGAAAAGCAAGAATGCATAAAACATCTGAGGCATGAAGTAGCCAAACTTTATTATTAAGGCTCAATTGGTTCACTGACTCAATCAGTCACAGAATTATTTATTAAGAGGTAAAATAAGAAACCTAAGTCTCCCCATTATTTATACATCTCTTCTCTCAATTATATCATGCTAATTCTTACGTATTTTCCCCCATGAGTTATTTTTCTCTATAACTTCTACACATTTTTAAAGCTTTTTTTAAAGGTAAGAAAGCTGAATAACATAGTTTAAGTTACCTTAAATATTCCCCAGATAATTGAGCAAATTTAAAGTCCTTAGTAAAGAACTTCAAAGTCATATCCAAGTATTAAAATATGTAAAACAGAACATACAATCAGGTATTTTTCTTCTAAATACTATTCTTCGGTGTTTTCCATATTACTAGAATGAATCAGTAGTAATTATTTCAAAAATCTACTTAAAATGTTGTTAGAGACTGGCCCCAGAATAACAAGTAAGTTATTCCATAGCTGAGTTATAGAAATTTTTCTTACTTGTCAATTCCATTGGGGGTCAAACTGAAGCAGGAGCAGCCAAAAGAAGCACTCCCCCCAAAATTAAGATCTGCTTCAAGCTTCTGAGGTTCAGAGCCACAGGAACACAATTTCTAAAGCTGCTACTCAATGCAAACACGATATCCCTAGTACCAACAATCTAATCAAGATCAGCTACAGTTGACCCTTGAACAACACCAAACTTAGAGGGGTACAAACCCACCATGCAGCTGAAAATCCACATATAACTTTTTATTTCCCCAAAATGTAATTCACAATAGTCTACTACTGACTGGAAGCTTTACCAACAACAAAGTCAATTAACACAAATTTTTTGTATGTGTTCTATACTGTATTCTTATAATAAAGTAAGCTAAAGAGAGTTATTAACAAAATTGTAAGGATAAGAAAATGCATGTATATTATTTATGAAAAAAACTTACATATAAGTGGAACCAAAGAGCTCAAGCCCATGTTTGTTACAAGGATCAACTGTACTTTTCCTGTCTTGTATCTCAGGGCCCTCCCTCCTCTATCCCACCAAAACTATTTGAAGAAACTGTATTTTTAGACTGTGGCATAAATTGTTATACACTATAATCAAATCTTTATCACTGATTTGAAATTACAAGTAGGGACTCTGGAATAGTAATTCAAATATTCCTCAAAAATAAAAAGTTAAAACCTCAAAATAAAAATAAAGGTTTAAAACAAAGATGCTAACAAAAATACTTTAGAGATTAATTTTAAATGTTCATAAATGTCCATATTGATGCTTTTGTGCAATAAAATATCAGAATTCAGGTAGCCACATTCATTCTTAGGTAGCAAAAAAATGATTGACTTATTTTATTTAAGGGAATTAAGGAGGAATAACATGACCCCACGTATGCTAACATTAAACCCTGAAAGGAACTGCCCGTGCAGACCCAACACATCTACTGTCATCCACTATCCTATCTTTCCAAACGTCATGAAATTCATTTATATTATTTTTATGTACTAAACAGATGAATTAAATGGTATCTTAAAAACAACACCCTGCATACCTCCATAAAGATATCCAAATCAATACCTGATTTCAACACAAGTGTTTACCAAGAAGGGGGTTATATGATTAAGTAAAACAAGAAACAAGATCTTACCAGAATAGCTCGAAATACAGTGGAGCCAATTCCCTCTGCCACCTCATACTCTCCTTTTTCATTGGGACGTGTGAAGTTATGTTCTCTGCCAGATCCAAACATCCTATAATAGCAAATAATTAAAAGACATATCAACAGGATACGTCCTTCAAAAGGGAAAATTGATTTCATGCACAAAACTAAAAAGGAATTAAGGAATTATAATTTAAGTATTAAATTACATAATTAAAGTAGTTCAAAAATTTTTATTAGAAATTTATTCTGGCAAATGTAAGAAAGGAATATAGAAAATATTTCATTTTCAAACAGTAGTATACAGGGGTCAACAAATGTAGGTTTACAGTTGCGAGTACACAAAACAGTTTATGCTTGTATTATTTATTAATTATTGCATTATTTGTATTACAAATGTAAGACTACTTTTGCTTGCCATTGTAGATTTCCTATAAGCAAAAAATAACAAATGATAAAATTCTGAAGCTAAAGGACGAATATTCTTCCAGCACCCTCTGCTCAGGAAGGAAAAAAAAATCAACTATCAAAAGGGAAAGGTCACTGTTATACTAATTTTACCAGGAAGGAAAAAAAGAAAAAAAAAGGGAAACCATGTTGTTTCTGTATCTTCCTTAAAACTGTTATCTTCCTTGCAAAGTTAATACCATAATGCAGCATATACAATAATCTAAAATAGGAAAAAGTAAGATAGTATAAACAGGTTAGTTGTCTTACTTTTCGCAATCTTAACTACAAACATAAAAAATCTTGCTCAAAACTCTTACATTTGAGAATTGAAAAACAAAAAAACAAATGCTGGGTAGAGAGGAATGAAGAAGTCAAGAGAACGAAAAAAGTTTAAAAAAGTGAGTAAAAAGCTCTTAATATTAATTTATATGCTATAATACATAAGGAAAATATAAATGGACTTACTGTTTTTTCAGGTCATGTTATTGGCCTTTAATAATAACAATTTAGAAAAGAAGCAATTTGCAAAATATCTCCTTCAAAATGAAAAATTTAATGCATTACTCCCAAGAAAAATTTTAAATTGTGATTAAAGGAAGTAAAACTTCTTCCAAAAACATCTAGTTCAGAGATTTCCAGATTTGAACATCTCACTGACAATAAAATTTCAGAACAAATTTGGGGGGCTGTCAAAAGTTTGCCAACATTCTGTTTTTGAAAGTTAGGGTATTACAGACAGACCATCTGCTATCACTATCTCTTCTTAAAAACCAGGACATTCTAACAAGAAAAAACTAGGAGAATATAATCTCTGAATAAAGGATAGTCCTTTAACTGTACTTAATTACATGGAAAATTAAAAAAAGTAGAACCTCTGAATCTGATACCACCATTATAAAGTAAATATGGCTAACCTAAGTACCTTACTCAACAATTTCCCAATTTAAGTTGTTTTCCCTTTTGTTATGAGAGCTGCCATCCTAAAAAAGATGCCTCTTGTGGAAAAAGGTTGATGATGAAGCAAAGGAAATCAAAGCAGCCCAGCTTTTCAAAGTAGCTCCTGTCCCAAAAGAGCCCTAGGCCTCAAAGCTCTTGGGTTTGTTAGATCACCTGGAAGGCAATTCTGGGAATGCCCAGCCGTCTTTCCCTCTGGATCCCTCCCCAGAATGCAAATATACCTGCTGGACCTTCCCTTTGCTACTCAGCCCTGGCTTCCACCCAAATCTCAAAGTGTTTGAGCGGGAAGGACTACAGCTGAACCTGTCTTTTGTTAAACTCCCTGGAACCCCCTTCATCTACCAGGCTGTTGTGCCCAAGAGTTTCCAGCTGCGGCTACAGGTCCTCGGTGGGGACACAGTTTCAGCTCAGGGCAGCCTTACAATGACCCAGCTCCTCTGAATCCTCAGTCTTAACAAGGTCCTCTTGTGGTTAAAGCTACACCTCACCTACAACCACTTTGGTGGTCAGCCAGTGCAGAAGATCGTTAAGGTAAACAATTTGCATATGGAGACAGGGCAGTAGCAGCCCCCACTCACAACCTGAAATCCTGGTGTCCCAAACCCGTGTTCCTAGCTACCTGGAGCCTACATCGAGGACTACCAGCAGGTGGCGCTCTGGTCCAATGTTTGCCACAGCAAACAGGAGGGGTGCTCCTGTACCCCTCCCCCACATACAATGAAAGCCCAAAACAGCAAGAGAGAATAAAAATAAAAAGTTTTCCCTTTTGTTATAACATATAAACCTATAAATAACAAAGCTTTTTTATTTCAGTTTCCAAAAGAATGCCAACTGTTTTTTACAGTTCCCATGAATATTAATTTTCATCCCCAAAGGTATGCTTTGGTCAATTCACATGAATAGAAGCCTTCATTGATGTAAAAAAGACAGTTTTTCAGGAATCAAATGCCATGCATTTTTTTCAAATATTTGAACTTTTTACAAAAGAAGTTATACTTTTCAGTATACACAGTGAATACACATATTGTGTCCGTATTTTGTTTTTAAAGAAAACATAGCCTAACAGCTGAAGCAAACTATCAAATATCTACTTTTTAACTATTTCTTTAAAGTACAGGGAAAAAACAAAGTATTAATAAGTCATCCTCCTAATAGCTTCCATCAAATAATCTCTCCTGTGCTACTAAAAAATATATCAAAGCCTATAGTTCAAGCATTTTTCTCAGATGCAAAGTCAGTGTTAAATATTAATCTACTCAAAATGTAGTGTCATATGCCAGCATGTATTCTGTATTCAGAGACACTGACAAATCTCACTCCCTCTCTCTCTCTCTCATGCACAAACTCTCACACACATCCCAAGTACTCCTATGCAACCTAAAAAATTGTTTTTACCTCATGTAAACTTCTACTTTATATATATGCTCCTTCATTTTATACTACAGCAAACAGAAAAAGATAATGACTTTAAAATTAAAAGGTATCTGATCAAGTCTAGATTGCCTATACCATTCTTAGATTACAGTTTCAGTAACTACAAATTTTACATTAGTCTACTACTCTGGGTGAGCACAGACTAATGACTACTTGAATGACTACTTTTTCATTCTACTACTTGTTAACAACATTTTTTTTCTAAGTATCAATATCACAATGACAGCTCATAGTGACTTTTCAGCTAACCAAAGTTGGGTTTTTTCCCTTTCAACAAGACTGATAACTGCTGTATTTGATGGCTGAATTTGGGAGCCTCAAGGAAAGAAAACATTACCACTGTTAAATTCACTTTGTTAGATGTGATCTATGGTTTCAGCCTATAGAAGAAGCCTTTTAGAATCTTGTCTTAACTAAAACATCTGCTATTCGTATCAGTATAGGGAAGATCATTAGATATAAAACCAAGTTCAAAAACTGGCTCTACCACTTCCTAGCTGTATTACATGAGCAAATTATTTAATCTTCAAAAGTTCAATTATTTTATCCATAAAATAGGAATACTATGTTGCAACAGATAATTACTGTAAACTTAAATGAAAATAATGTGAAAAAGTGCTTTAAAATTAATAATACAAAAAAACTGCAATAATACAAACCTGCCCAACATTGTATTTGGCTGTGCAGTAAAAATGGATGGGTCCACAACAAACCTAGTGTTATCCACTATTAATGTCACTCGTTCTGATGTTCTTACATTCCGAGCTCCTTCTTTTGCATTTTCATACACAAACACCATCTCCCCAGATGTCTTACAGCTACCATCTGTACTTGACTGACTACTGTTTCTGCTGCTGTTCCCAGCACTGCTACTGGAACCATTTGGAGATGCTTTTTGAGGACGAGGACTGCTTGGACGAGAGGAACTGTGATCCTTTTCTCGTTCTGAAATAAAATTGTTAAAGAAAATCATGCAAATTTTCTTTTAAAAAATTCAAGTTCCATATGTATCTTTTACATAACATTTTCACAGACCATAAATATTAATTTATTCCCCAGGAATAAAAGATCAAAATGTTTTTTAAAATAATTAACCTTTGTAGACTTTATAAAGATGTATAGCTTTATAATGTTGACCCAGACTAAGATCAAAATTCTGGTAAATTTTATGTTACTATTCTACTTAAAAATATATAGAAACCTAAGGAACAGAATCACAATTCAAGTAAGTAAACATTGAAAGTCAGTAAAAGATAAGAATACCAACTTAAATTCTCCTAAATATTAAGAGTATTAATACTCAGAACACAAAGTATAAATTTTGGAATCTGGCTGTGTTAATAAAGGCATTTCAAAACCAGCAATTTATCTCACAAAAGGAAGGTCCTAGAAGAAAAAACAAATTTCACTAGGATAAGAAGTATTTATTTTTTTAAATGACTCAATGTCTACCAAATTAAGTGGCTTTAATAGCTGATATTGCTTTCTTTTTATTTCACTTTTGTTGAGTAAAGCACTACCACAAATTGTATAGGATCACATAATTATTATTTATAATTTTAATAGCTCGGAAATGATATTAAAATTCAGAATATTTTCTTTAGATGTTCCCACAGTCTATACAGGGAAAATAAAACTAAGATTTTGTGATTAAGTTTCTTTACAGGCTAGATCCCTAAACTTTAAAGGTGACCTAAAAATGTACCTCCAATCCCCTTATAGTTTCATCAGTTTTTGCCAAATTCCTACATGACTCAGACAACTTAGAACACTCTGTACAGCTTCACTGATTATATAATTAGATTTGCTATATCTCCAGAGATACTCTGACACCTCCATTTTATTGCCTGTTTCCACAATGCTGGTAGGATCCTAAAAGCAAAATTTGCTAAATAAAATAATTACATCCTTCTACCATCTTCCCACATGCTGAACTTTGCATATAACAAACTAAATTACTTACTTATACTTTTTTTTGGCTTATCAGTACTAGTCTGATTTTAAGGACCTTCTTAGATACTGGCAACTTCTATACATTCTTCCCAGGGGTAAATGAAAATAACCAAGTTCACATTACTTGCATATCTCTGCTTCGGACTAGTGCTTTACAGCCACACATATTTACTGAGGGTAAAATGTTCATTACTGGGTAGAGGAGAAGATCTGAGCTAGTTGCCAAGAAAGCAAAACACTTCACACCTCCCCTTTCATCTCTTATTTTTATTACTAAAAATACTGTCAAAAATCAAAGTAAATTACTCTGATGGCTTTTAATTCCTTTTTTCCAGGATGACTAACCAAGAATTCCTATCATTTATTTACTATGATTGACAATAAGTTTATTATTGATATTTATAGTAAACTTAGTATTTATTATCACAATAATTTATAAATTATTACAAAATAAACCACTACTATTTCATAAAACAAAAATCAACTTGAAAAAAATTTTAAATCTACATATCACAAATATAAAGGCTTTTCAAATTACTTCTTTTATAAGTCTGTCCCAGATCCTTAATTAAAAATTTCACTTTTGCTTCATTTAATAAGTTGTTTTTTCACAGCGATAACCAAGCTAAGCTAAAATAGAATCAACTGAATAAAAGTGAGAAGTTAATTTTACTCTGGAGTATTAGGCACAATTCATTATTGTTACTACTTTAAAAAGATAAATACATGCTTTAAAAAACTGTTGGGAAGGTTAGTTGATCTACATACCAACATGGTGTTGTCGTGTTGGAGAAGTAACATTTCTAATACAAGGAGTGAGCTGAGACTCTGTTCTTTCGTGAGATGAATCTCGTGATCTGTCACTTGACCTTCGTCTATCTCTTGATCGTTCATGTCCCCCACTAGCACCATGTAGGCTCATTTTGGCGTGGTCAACAACTCCTTTAGCAACACGTGACGGAGTGCTGGTGAATTATAAAAGAAAAATAACCATAAAAGTAGAACATGAGATACAAACACTTTTAAAGAAAAAATCAATTAACATAATACTACTAATATTTTGAAGAGCAAAAATCAAATGCTACTTAATCATTCTGAAATAAACCTAATTTACTTCAAACTTCTAGGTTCTATAAATTCTGGAGCACAATGTCTTTAAAGATCACATACTCCAACTCAGTTTTAAGGATGAGAAAACTAACGCTCAGGAAGGCTAACTGACTTTTGAGCAAGTAGTAAGTAGTAGAAGTAATAGTAGCGGTAGCCGCAGTGACCACCCAAATCTCCTAAATACTATTCAAATGTTCTTTTGATTTCTTTGATTGTGGGAGAAAAAAAGAAGGTAAGAGCATCAGCTTCTGAAATTCTTAACTGAGGAATGGGGTAAAATAACTAGTCTCCCTGCCGAATATAATAAGTCTACATGCCAACTTCAATCAACTTGTTTTGATTTTGATTGAACTCTTCAAAATTTTTAAAAGCATTTCTCTAAAAGGTTTCACGGCACCAACTGTGTAAAGCCAAGAATTTAACATTTTAAAACCTCATATGTAGAGTAAATTCGCCCATGAGACATGAGTAATGATGGATAAAGAATGGTGATTAATAGTCTAGTTGACAGAATTCACTCACACAATTATTTAAGTTAGATGTCCTCTGTGTACCATGCTGTGCTACATGCCAGTAAAGAAACTCCCTCAAGGAACTTGATTTTTAAGTGTAGCAGTAACACATGAACATGTAGAAATTTACACAATTCAAGAGTTATCCCAAATTTCAAATATAAAATGACTAAATATGTCTCAAATACGTATACAGCTAATAAACGAATGACTGATAATAAATGCATTAAGATCTCAGAAGAAGACTGTAGATTAGTCACTGGTGAACGAGGCACTGACAAACAGATAAGATTTTAATAATCAGAATACATTACAGGAAGGAAAACTGACAGTAACAAAAAAGAGAGACAGACCTAGGGTATTTTGGAAATTTACCATTTTCGCATATACCACAGTTCATTGTTTTGAAATATTAAAGTATTTTATAGAAATAGAAAGAATGTCATAGCTTTAGAGTAACAAAGACTCAAAATCCAATCGTCCTTTAATATGTAATTGCTCGACATGTTGAATATTACTTAACATTTTGGAAGCTTAGTTTCCTCATTTGTAAAATGTAGATCCTATTTACTGAAGTTAATACAAAGATTAAATGAAATATAAGTAAGCTGACTAGCCTTTTGATTCATTCTAGCCTCCATAATATTACTCTGCTCTCTTTTCACTATTTAATCTTCCACTAAAATGTGGTTGCTTTCATATGAAAATCAGTTATTACTTCACTGTAACAGACTACAAAGATTGTATTTACCCAAAGAGTGAGTTACTTCTAGGAAAATAAAAGCAACCAATCCATCAGCCTTTATCAGTCATTTATCTCTCATAAACCAACAAGAGAAGAAAAATTCTATTCCCACCTTCTTTCTAGTGCAAAAGATCAGAGTAGGACTGCATCTTTGGAACATACTCCTTTTCTTGAAATAGAACAAATCAAAAGATCCTACTGCATTTATGTTAAAAACTTTAAACTAGAAACAATGAATTTTCTGGTTTTTGTCCTAAAGTGGGAAAACAAAAGGAGTCCATACAAAAATACCAAGGATTATAAATTCAAAAAAATAACTCCTCAAATTCTTCCACTGCTGCTAAGTTTTAAATGTGCTAAAGCACATTTTCTAAATATGAATTTAATTTATAATTTAATGCGCAATATATAAACACAACTACAACTAAGGCATATTGCAGGATAAATGTTCGGTTTGAATAAGGGCCAAACAGACTGGTTAATTGAAAAAGCATTTCAACCAGACATCTCCATAGCTAAGATGAAGTACTGCTAAGTGTTCTGTTGAAACATTGGCTTCATTTCTAAATTGTTTAGAGTTTAAATGGATGCAAAAGATATAACACTCTTCCATCCTTTCTTTTCATTCCTACATGGGATGTACTTTAAATCAGACCTTCAAATCATATTGTCATGAAAGACTAATTACGTCCTACTCTATTTAATTAAATAATTTTAGATTATGAAAGCATTCTAAGGGTAAAAATAATTAATGTATGCAAAATAAAATGAGGACAAGCACGTACAAAGGAGGTATTTCTGCTTCGTTGTGCATTTAAAGGAATTTGAAATCCAGGAATTGAGGACAGGAAAAAAGATGAAAAGTACATAAACCGCAAAATCTGCTCCTAGCCAATACAAAGTAACAAGGACTGAATTTACTCTCTTGTCTGAAACAGCCCCTCAAAAGGGACAAAATATATGAAACAGTAGTTTGCAAGACATAGTACCATCAAGCAAAGAGAGTGATCCCTCAAAGATGAAAATCAAGTAAGCCCCAAAACTGTCCAAATTATTAACCTTGAGAAAGTTTCCAGAGTGAACACAAGGAAGTGAAACCTGGTGACCACTGAGCTAGAGATATGGAACTGAGAGGTTTGGGACAATGGGTGCTGCAGTTCTTAGAAATAAGTGCTGGAGAGAGGAAAGCTCACAGACAGAAAATCTCAGATCTACAGTGTGTCTTCTTCATGTACTGAGCTTAGTACCAATCTGCACACACATCTGGAGAAACTACGTGAGGCTGGAGAAAGAACCAACTCAAAGGATGAGAGGAAACTGCCCAGAACTCACATAAGGGCCTGTTTCTCCCAGACAGGTTGGAAAACCTCATAATTCATAGGGCACTGGGGAGAGAGTCTAGCAGGGATGTCCAACCTGCGGCCCAGAGGCCACAAGGAGCCCAGGATGGCTGTGAATGTGGCCCAACACAAAATTGTAAATTTACTTAAAACACGATATATTTTTTGTGACTATTGTTGCAATGTATTTACTGTTTGGCCCAAGACAACTCTTCTTCCAGTGTGGCACAGAGACGCCGAAAGGTTGGACACCCCTGGAAAGGTCTTGGCTCTGATATAGGAATTAATTAAACTTAAACTGAGTGCTACTCTAGTCACATCTAATAAATCTTAAGAGCAAGATCTGAAAGACTCAAATTGTTCCCAAGTAACAACTGAACCCTAAAACAAAGCTCAAGAATATTTTTAGGAATACAAAAATATCCAGCACCCAAATAAGATAAAATTCACAACACATGGCATCCAATAAAAAACTACCAGGCATGCAAGCAGTAGGAAAACATAACCTATGAGGAAAAAAATCAATCAAAATCAACCCAGAATTGATGCATATTTTACAGTTACAAACACACTGTAGCAGTCATTATAACCATATTTCTCCAAAAAATTATTGAGATATAGAAGAGTTTAAAAATAGGCAAATCAAACTTCCAGAGATAAAAATGAAGATATCTGAGATAAAAAATAAACTGAATGAAATTAATGAATATTACACAATATAAAAGAAAAGTTTGGTGAACCTGAAAACAAAACAACAGGAAAAATCCAAAATGAAAACACAGAGAGAAAATAGAGAACTTAAAATAGGGCATGAGTGAACTGTGGGTCAACTTTAAGTGCCCTAATCCAGGAATAAGTGGAGTCTATAAAGAAAGAGGTGAGTAAGAGAAAAAAAATTTTGAAGAAATAATGTCTCACAATGTAATGACAACTACAAACCCACAAACACAACATGCACAAAAAAAATCCCAAACATATTTTAATAAAAAATAAAACACAAAAACAAAGCAAAATAAAACAAAATAAAAACCTGTCAATCTGCATTTGTTGTACTCAGTGAAAACAGTTTTCAAAAATAAATGGAAAATGCATTTTCAGACACACACAAAAATGAAGAATTCATCACAGGCAGACTTGCACTGTAGGAAAATTTAAAGGAAGCCTTTCAGGCAGAAGACAAAATAATGCCAGGTGAAAACATGAATCTACACAAAGGAATAAAGAACACTGGAAAGAGTAGCTATATCGGAAAATATCATTTTTTCTTATTGTTTAAATCTCTTTAAAAAGATTAGTTTAAATAAAAAGTATATAACAATTTAGTGCGGAGTTTATAACATATAATTACAATAGCACAAAATTTGGGAGGTGAGACATAGAAGTACAGTACTGTAAAGTTCTTATACTACACAGAAAATGGTATAATCTCACTTGAAAGTAGACTGATAAAATAAAGAGGTATATTATAAGCCCTAAAGCAACCACGAAAGTATGGAAACAAAGAATTATAGTTAATAATCCAACAAAGGCAATAAAATGAAATCACAGAAGATATAATTAATCCAAAAGAGGAAAAAAGGGGTAAGACAAGGATAAAAGGGACAAATAGAAAATAATCGGCAAAACAGACTTAACATTAGCCATCTCTATAATTACATTAAGTGTTAATCGTCTAAGCCATAAAAGGTAGAGCTTATCTGACTGGATATAAAAGCTAGACCCAATTATATGCTGCCTACAAAAAAGCACCTCCACACACACACACACACACACACACACACACACACACACTTTAAATATAAAAGTACAAGGGGGTTCAATAAAAAAGGACAAGGGAAGATAAACTGTGCTAACACTACGGAAAAGAAAGCAAGAGGCTATATTAGTATAAGACAAAAATACACCTCAGAGCAAAGAGTATTATCAAGGCGTTTCATATGGATAAAGGGAAAAATTCATTAAAAGCACTTAATCCCAAAAGTTCTCCTTCCTCAGAGCTTCAAAATACATGAAACAAAAACTGATGAAATTACAAAGAAACTACACAATTCCAAAATTATAGTCAGAGGTTTCAATACTCCTCTCATAATATTTAACACAGAAAGTAGACAGAAAATAGTAAAGGTTGATAGTTGAACACTATCAACTGGCTTGACCTAATTGACTTTTATAGAACATTTCTACAAAATGAGAGCAGAAAACTCATTCTTTTCATGTGCACACAGAACGTTTATCAAGACTCAGCAATAAAACAAGTC